AGTCCTACCGTTTCATACAAGATAATTATTTAATGTTATGGCCTAACTATTTGGCTCTAATTATTTTCGGAGGGGGACATGAAACTTTTTTATTGTTGGAGCAGAAGACAAAATTTAAATATTGAAAATGATATATGAAGGAAATAGTTAGGAATATCATCTTCTATATTTGTATTATTATAACATTAAAGAAAATATTTTCTCTTTTTCTAGTTTAGGTGAATCTTGGTATAATTTGGACATGAAGTCAAAAGTTGATTTCCCATTTAATCTAGAACTAACGAACAAGAAAACTAGGTTCAACTATTACGTTTTGGGGGAACTTTTAAGAAATTATGAGGAAGGAAAACAAATTAAATGTATAAAAAATGAGAGGAATAGATTTGAATTAATATGTAAGAAAACTAAAAATTAGTTTCTTTTAATAGTACTTTCCATTTTTTAAAAAGTAAATATTTTTAGATTGGTCATTATATTAACAGTCTATACTTACCATCGTGACCAACTACAGTTTTGACTAATTTGTTTGTAGCGTCAAAAAGCTGGAACATAACTTTTCATTTCCTCAGTGAGTGACAACTGGTAAAACAGAAAATCTAAAGGTAAATAGTGTTCTTATTTTATCTCTATAAAATATCACTCCATTCACACCTCTAGTTTAACCGGCGAGTAAACCAAAAAACCAACGTAAACCGGTGGCACATGGAACAACTTTTACTTTTAGACCTCCTGTTTTTGTAACCACAGCTTTAAGGTACATATCCTTACCACATGTTATTTTGACGAAGAACCATATATTGATTCGTTGTTAAAACTTTGTCGTGTCGTATTTTATACTGATCTGTGATTAATATAAACTGAAAACCTTAATTGACGTACGCTGTTTGTATAATTTACTTATTTATATTACCGGAAGAAGAGAAAAATCAGGATTAATAAAATGCATGAGACTTGTCTTACCTCATTCAGACTCCATTTTCTAAGTTATCTGCACAGCGAAGATTACGATCTCATTTCATTATTGCACATACCTATCACCGAATGATGAAATTAATATCAAAAGTTTAATGCTAACATAAGCACTAATTTATCAAAAGAAAACATATTAATTGCACTTATTTTGGTGTTAATTCTTAGTAAGAGACTAAGATAGTGGTAACATTTTGGAAACAATTAGACAAGTGTTTTTTTTTTACATCGATTATAATGTTTGCCAAACTTCTCGATCGCCCAAAGTAAATAAAATTGTATCTCCTATAATTCTACCACAAAACACATTTTGTTAGCCGAATACAGTCTATGTTTTAAAACCACTAAATTTCAATCTAGGATACTATTAAATTAGTGTACTATGAGGGAACAATATTAAATTCTGATGCTAATCAGCAAGCACTAGATTATTGGACTAAAGTGGTCTTCGACGAATTACCAGCATTTTTTAAAGGTGACTTTATACGATTGACAATGACTCACTGATTAATTAACATTCAGCGTATAATTAATTATTTCATTTTGAATAGGTGGCGAAACGACGATTAATCATAATAATCAATCGGTGAGTTTTTATTTTTATAGTTGTCATGATAGACTCACAATTATGTAAATTAAATTGAGATATTAGTTTGCGTACTGATGGGTTGTCGTCAGGTTAGAACTTGATCATCATAAACAAGTATGAAGCATCATCATTCTGATCTCCATCTTTTTTATATATTTTACGATTTGAAATTATGCAGTTTGTCTAATCGCTGTCTAGTGTCTATTACTTTCACTATATTCCAAATCCAAATTTATATATGAACAAAACTTCTTTTTCATTTATTATAGAAATAATCTTTCAGAAAATTTCTTTTATTGATATTGAATGCGAATATATTGTTTTTTATTGGCCGACGCAAACAATGTGTAGAGTAATTTGCTCGTTCCGTGTAAATTTATTTATTTAAAATTGTGAATATAAAAAAGAGGTGTTCATTTGCATTTCAATTTGGTTTTAGTTTAATTTTATTAGTGATAGTTTAATACAATTTCGGTTTTGGATCGTATTTGAGTTTTTTTTTGTTGTGGTTAATAAAAAAAACTTTGAAACTATAATAAAATATGGTTAAGCTTTTAGATGATTTTTTGGATCAATTAGGATTGAATCGAATCGTTTCATCCCTATTAAGCTCCCCTAGTATAAACCATAATTTTAATAACCAAGAATGTTTATAAAAGCATTAAATCGAATCGCCGACCACATTATTTAAACGTTATTAATATCATGAGTTTAATAAATGCGACGGTCCATTTAAAATAACGGGTCCATTAATATTTGACACATAACCACAAAATTTATTAGGTCCATTATCAATGTTGGGCCTATCGTTAGCTGTCGTCAATAGCTGGTTCTTAAATTTGAGAAGCTTGGGTTTCATTGTTACATTTCAAACTTCGTGTCCAAATTGGTAAATTTCGTAAATAAGAGGGCAATTTTGATAAAACTAGCGAAAAGAAAAGGATAAAAAGAACCGTTTGAAGAAATTATCTTACGCGGCGGATAAGAGAAAAAAAGATGCAAACGCTTCTCTGTCAGCCATGTAAGTCTCTTCCTATATTCACTTCTTCTTCTTCTCCGTCGTCGTCGATTCGTAGTTCCGGAGACGTGCGAGAATGTATCAATTTCAGAGCATCGGAGAAAGTATCGCAGTTTCAATTTCGTGAAACCCTAAGCCCCTTTGAGTTTCGTGGTTTCGCAATTTGTCGCGATTTTGCTACTCGTGGAGCTTATGGGATTAGATTTTGCTCACGAGACGATGTTTCCGGTGTTGAAAACGGAGGAATCGTGGCGGAGAAGGAGGAGGAGCTTGAGCTATTGAACAAGCCGAATCCTGTAGCGAAATCAGAAAATGAGAAGGAGAATGGTAAAGCAGACGATGACGAGATTCTGGAGCCGTTTTTGAAATTCTTTAAACCGGAAGGAGAAGGAATCGAATCAGAAGTTTCTGAGGAGACGGATAGAGTCAATGTTGAGTATTACGATCCTAAACCAGGTGATTTTGTGGTTGGTGTTGTGGTTTCCGGTAATGAGAATAAGCTTGATGTCAGTATCGGTGCGGATATGTTGGGAACTATGTTGACGAAAGAGATTCTTCCTTTGTATGATAAAGAGTTGGATTATTTGTTGTGTGATTTGAAGTATGATGCTGAAGAGTTTTTGGTTAATGGGAAAATGGGGATTGTTAAGGATGATGATGATGAAGGTGTTGAGATTGCGGAATTTGCAAGGCAAGGTAGGCCGGTGGTGGAGATTGGGACGGTTGTTTTCGCGGAGGTTTTAGGGAGGACGTTAAGTGGAAGACCTTTGCTTTCTTCTAGACGGTACTTTCGGAGGATCGCTTGGCACCGAGTGAGGCAGGTTTTTTTCTTGTGCCTTGATTTATTCATTATCTGGATTCAAAAACTGGTCTTGGTTTGAAGTATTTGTATCATTCAGATGCATCTAATGAAGAATGAATTGTTATGTGGCAGATTAAGCAACTTAATGAGCCTATTGAAGTTAAGATAACAGAGTGGAATACAGGAGGACTTCTCACCAGAATTGAGGTAGCCGAATTTTTCGTCTTGTTCACATGTCTGCTCACAAGTCACAAGTGGATAATCCATAGCTCTTTGTTGGCTTCATTATCAGGGCTTACGAGCTTTTATTCCGAAGCAGGAACTGGTGAAGAAAGTGAACAGTTTCACCGAGTTGAAGGAAAACGTAAAGCAAGAGTTTCTTCTTCCACTGTAACAATTTTGTTTTTTTCTGCTGAATTGCAGTAGGCTTTTGACATTACCGTTGTGCGTTTTCTCAGGCTTTTTTCGTGTTGCAGGTGGGTCGTAGACTCCTTGTGCAGATAACGCGATTGAACGAAGACAAAAACGACTTGATACTGAGTGAAAAAGTAGCCTGGGTTAGTTTCTTCCCTTCTGTCTTGTCTTTTACAAGAAAAACCAACAATGAGACTAATGATCTATCGAATGATGTCTCAGGAGAAGCTGTACCTTCGAGAAGGAACACTATTAGAAGGAACAGTTGCCAAAATCTTACCATATGGAGCTCAAGTCAAACTTGGGGATAGTAGCAGAAGGTAGTTCATTATCTATTGCTTCCATAAATTCGTTGTTCTTCTTAGTGACTACTAGTTTTGAATTCATTTCGTTTGCCAATAAATGTTATACAGTGGACTGCTACACATCTCAAACATAACTCGAAGAAGAATTGGATCGGTGAGCGATGTGCTTCAGGTGGACGAAAGTGTAAAAGTTCTGGTTGTGAAATCTCTATTTCCAGACAAGATCTCTCTTAGGTAAAAACAACTCAAATTCCAAAATTCACTATCACCTCAGTAGTCAGTAACAACTATTTTCTTTTCTACAGCATTGCTGATCTTGAAAGCGAACCAGGCTTGTTCATCTCAGACAGAGAGGTACAACTTAATCTATGGATCTAACTTGTTCTCTTTTAACCCGGTACAAAATTGCCATTCATGTCCCTTAATATTGTGATTTTGTCGATCAGAAAGTGTTTACGGAGGCTGAAGAGATGGCAAAGAAATTCAGAGAAAAGATGCCTTCGGTGGCTACAAGCCCGATTTCTGATCGTCCTCCAATCACAAGCAGTTTCCCTCAAGGCAAGGATGAAGAAATCTATGCTAACTGGGACTGGTTCAAGTTCGAGAGTCAGTGACAAATTCACAAATCCTGTTAACAACATGTTGTACAATGACTTTCTGTATTTGAAATTTTGATACTATGTATTATTATGAGTAAATGTTTAAGTTCTTTCTTCCTCCTGATAAATCTTATTCTTTTACAGAAAATGTGTATCTATGTAAAGATCAAAACACACAACGAAGCTCACTGAAATAGGAACTTATAATAAATTGTTTCAAGTTTTTTTTTCCTCTAATCAAAAGAGTATAGTCACAGAAACAACAATAGAGGCTTAAGCATTGCAACCTTCACTCAATGTTCTGAATTTGACCTAAAATTTATTGAAGCGCACACAGATGATAATCAGCTAAGAACAATGGCTCAGTGAAGAAGAGGAAAATTTCTGCTAACCTCTCACAGAATCAAAAATCATCAATTGATCATTCGTTCAGCTGTTGAAGCTCAGCTTTTAGCTGTTCAATCTTGAGTCCCATGGATCGCTGCAGAGACGCTTTCTCTTTCTCTGTTACTTTCCCGAGTAAACCTTCGAACATCTCCAAAACCTCTGCCACGGCGGCTCTAGCGCACTCTGCTTCTTCGTTGAAGTAAACCGTCTCCTTAGCATCCATAGCCATTTCGATCTCTTCACGAGCTTCAGCGAACTTGAGATTAATCTCGTCCACTACCTTGTTTACATCTACAGGTGAGCCACCGCTAGAGTCGGTGCCGTATCTTCTCTGGAAGGCGTTTGGGATCCGGGAAATTAGTGAGCTAGCTGATGATGTTTCGGAGAGACTGGATTTCGAATATGGAGATCGGAGATTACCAGAGACATTGCTAATTGAGTTTATGAGAATCGTAGAAGATGTAATGCTTGGAATCTGTAGGATTCGGAGAGAATTTCTGGTGAACAAATTTCGGAGAGTAATTGCTGAGTGAAGAGGAGGCATGGTTCCCGCCGGTTAGGTTTCTCCGAGATTTTTTTGTAGGTCGGCGGCGCAGATAAGTGGGTAAATGAGAAATTGAAATTGTTCAAAACTTCAGATTGTGCATATTTGAGGAAGACGAAGGTAACTTTTGGGCCTAATGGGCTTTATAATTAGGGTCACGATGAGGTCCACGGAAAATCACGCAACGGTCATTGGTTGCAAAAAGTCAAAAGAAGACAAGTCAAGGTCAAACCATCAACCAAACCACAGAAGCACCAGAACCATAAACTAAGAGCTTCTCACTGACCACTCCAATGGCGAACCACTCCATTTTTCCATTGATTTTTATGCAAACCAAACTCCTACTTAAACTCCTCAGTTCAAAGACAGTATCAATCCACAAACTCTCAAGTTATATCCAATGGCTCAGACCGTTCCACCATCTCGAACGAAGCCGCTAACAGTTTTCAAGATGGGTTTAGCCTCAGCAAGCTTCCGTTTGGTTAGCCTCGCTTCTCATTCGAAGAGGAAGCTTCGTCGTTGCCGTTGGGTTGCCTGTTATGGCTCTAGAGATTATGAACCTGTTATACATCTCCAAAACGACATGACGATGATGAACAATGGTGATGTTTATGATCCATACAGCGGCGACCCGAGCATGTTGCCTAGTGGGGATCAGAGACGAGGTCCGTTGTGGCAGAAGAACATTCTCATGGGAGGAAAATGCCAGCTTCCAGATTTCTCAGGTGTTATATTGTATGATGCCGATGGGCAAGTTGTTCCTCCGGCCAAGAACTCTCTTCCTTTGCTCACCTGGAAGTAAAAGAAGAAAGAAGATGTATCCCTAACGAAGGCTGAAACTCCTTATTATAATCCGGTTTACCATTTGTTTGATTGATCTTTTTCTTGGAATATAATATATGGTATTGTTCAATGATTCTATAACTAAAAGATTTGTGGAAAATATGAATTGCATGATGCGCTTGCTCAAGACATTCATAGTAACATATCACACACATGCATTAGCTTTACATCATAATCAATGTCAAAGCATAGTAGAACTTTGGTTTTACTGCTTTGACCAATAAAACAGGGGCAAGTCATAAAAGATCTCATGATGCCCAGTAATTTTATGAAGTCTGGGTTTCTTTCCAGACGAACTGACTTTGAGTTCATGTAATATTGTTACATGTAATATTCAGGCTTCAATACGCCAATGTAAGATAGGTTGCGGTATTGCTCTGCAAAGTCCATGCCATAGCCCACAACAAATTCATCTGGACACTGCGCATATTCAGAAGGCACAACACATTCAACACAATGCTATGAAATATACATTCTTAAGTCAGGCTAGTTCCTAACACCAAAAAAATACGTTTGTTTACCATGCTCTAGAAAAGCATTGGCATACGCATAACTGAACAAAAAGAAATCGGAAAATATCATGCTACAATCTCATTGATTTTCTAAGTAATTGATACTACTGTCAAGGTGGCTTACGTATTGATCATGGTTGGAAAGTCTCAACTATATCAAAATTTGCTGAAAGCAATATACTGAAATTCCAAAGCCCTTAGACAGAGATATAATGCTAAACAAATTTGAATAGAGAGAGACAAAAAGCAGCTTACTTCAAAACCACTGTAGAATTTCCCATTTCCAACCAGCTTAAAATGAACCTTTCTTCTCGATGGCTTGTCAAGGAGAGTACAAACCGAAACAGATGATGCCTTTTTCAATTTTAGGTGCTCAATCAGGCAGCTAAGTGTATTGCCAGTATCTACAATGTCCTCGACCTTTAAGAAAACACATAGCTAGTGAACTTAAAAGGTAGTGAAGTTTCCGAATGCGTAGTGTAAAATAATTAGCAAGACATCATCAAATGAGATTGTGAAGCATATCACTGTGTTCTTCAGACGTTAAAACTCACTAGAAAAAGACACAATATTCAGTATCCAAGACACAACAATTTTTAAGCTGTAAAGACTCAAACTTTTCATGAAATTCACATGAATCTGACACTCAATTGCTAAAATTCACAAATATTAGCCAAATACAGATCCATCACGCATAAAGAGATGGAGATTACCAAGACAACGTGCTTGTTCGTGATGTCAAGCTTCAAGTCAAACGATATTCTGGGAAGTCCATTGGATACTGTACCAGAGCCGTAAGACTCAGCTCTGATGTAATCAATAGCGATGGGCAAGTCAATTCGCCTAACGAGATCGGCCAAGAAGAGGCAAGCACCAGTAGCTACGCCGACGAAAACAGGCGATTCCGAGTCACCAGAGAAATCAGAAGTAATCTCGGATCCAAGTTGACCCACACGCTCCGCGATTACTTCATCGCTGAAAAGCACCTTCTCTATATGCTTATCTAGCGCCATCATCATCTTCCTCTTACCTCCACCACGAAGCTTGATTTGGTTTTTTAGGGTTTGATTCTAATCGCCACTGTCAAAAAAACGCGGGATCTTAACTGAAACTAACCGCAACTATTTACTGTCTTCTGTTAACCAGACCCGGTACAAAATAATCTGGAAATTGCCAAAAAGTTTGTGATATATTAAACCGAAGCTATAAACCAAACCCGGTACAGTATAATTTGGAATTGCCAAATTTTTTGAAGTATATCAAATTGGCGCTAGAACGAAATTGAAAACACAAAATCGAAATCCCTAGAGAACAGACGAAGACGAAGAAGGAGAAAAATGGCGAGTACTCTCTTTATCGCTCTCCAATGTTACGAATGTTCGACTATGCAGGTTTAAACTCTCTCGCTCTTTCTTCTTCTTGCTCTGTCAATTTGCGTATTGGTTAGTTTTTTAGGGATTTTGTTTTGGGGATCGTATTCGCAGGTGAAGCAGAAGAAGAAAAGCAGTAACAAGTGGGTTTGTGTGATTTGCAATCAGAAGCAATCGGTGAAGAAGGTGTTTGCTCAAGGTTATAAGGCTAAGGAGCTTCGTTTCTTTGTCCAATCGTTTAATATGTCTCGTAAAGTTGCCGATGAGGAGGCACAAGCTGTTGCAGATTCGTGTTCGGAGGTTGATGTTGAAAGAGAGGTTGATGAGGAGGTTTTAGATGTTAGTGGAACGAAGAAGCGATCTGATTGGAGTGAGTATCTCGATTTTGATTCACCAAATGATCGCCGGGGATTAGCTGGAGAAGAAGACGGTGAGTCTAATTCAAGAGAATCAATAGCGTTACTTGAAATTTTGTTGTTTTTTTGCATCTTAAGAGACCAAATAGATATACTTGGTTTTGAATATTTGTTGCAGATGTGAAGATTGTGACTGAGATGCCGAACAATATGTTCAAGAGGCCTAAGCTGAACAAAGATTCTAATGCTGGTGGATCATCATCAATTACAGGAAGTGGGAAGAAAGAAAGTAATGAGATCTTCAAGCCTTCCTTCTCCAGACGAAGCATCAAAAAGCCAGATTTGTGTTCTGGTAAGAGGAACTCTCCTACGTATGTCAGTGATATATCAGAATCTGGTTCGAGTAAAGCCGCTGCGTATGTTGTTTATTGACATTAACAGACACTGATATGACTAAAGGCCTGAATGGTTTATTTAACTAGGATGATATTTTCTTGTAATTCCTATCCTACGAATGTGTTGCAGATGGAGTAGTGACAAGGAAGAAGGATATAGAAGAGAGAATTCTAGAGTCAGAAAGAGTAACTAAGCCAGCTTCAAAATGGGACGCCTACTTGATCGATGAGGAAGGAGAACATCAGGGACAACCACGAATTGGTGGGAATAAAGCCTTGAAGGATGAAGCTCATGTAGGCGAATGGGACAAAGCAATAATGGAGAGAAATGTGGTATACCAGATAGTAGACGACGAGGTACATCCAGATTTCATGTGATCAGGGATAGATTTATGTTTAACCAGGATGCAGATTATTATGATATGCTAAATGTAAAGTTTCTGAAACAAATTTAGAGATGCAAAAGAGTTGACTCAGTAACTAGACTCCAAATAAAACTAGAGAAAGTGCTAAGAATAAAAGTCTCAATGCTAAGAGAAGAAACTCAAAACAACCTATCAAAGAGAAGTTGCAAAGGAGAGAAAGAAAAAACTAGTTAAAGAGTTCCTAAAAGTTTTGAAGCAACTGTCTAAAGAAAGCCAGAGAAACATTGTCTTGAGTAAACAGTATGTTCACTCGGTAGAGGATAGAGCAAACTGGTCATCAACAGATGACACAGCTGGTGCATTAGCAGAGAGTCTGAGAACATCCATAGCCTCGGAAACTTTAGCCTTAAGAGCCTCAGGTGACTCAAGAAGGTGCAAAATCTCAGCTTGATCCATCTCCAGCAACATCCCAGTAACTTTGGCCGCATATTCTGGCTCCTGCTGCTCCACAAATGGGTAAAGATTCTCCCCAAGCATCTATCATCAATTCACAATGCAATGATATCGTTAACAAATCTTGATACAATGCAAGTCCTAGATGAGATAAGAGAAGAAAACACTGGAGATCACAAACCTGTGGGTGTTTCTCGGGGGGAGCCAAAGCCAAATCAGATGCGAGCTTAGAAATGGTGAGGAGAGATGGCTTCTGCGGGTGTTGCGGAGCATTGTGAGAGATTGCAGAAGCATTCAATGGCAAAGGGATGATGCCTTGTGGAGCAGATGTTTCCATTCCATTCCTCCTATTGCCTGCGCCTCCCATGTATCGCATTCCCGGGCTTGCATTTTGCTGCAGAATCTGACAGTTCCAAGATAATAACAAACCCCAACAAATTCAAATTCGTCTGATTGTTTTAAAAATAAAAAACTTGCTGAAGACATATAAAGAACTCATAATAAGAACTTTACTTGTTGTTGGAATTGCTGCTGCATGTTATTAGCACCACGCCTGAACCCAACACGAGGACCAGGCTGAGTTTGCCTTTGAAGAGGGAAAGGCATCATGTAGTTAGCCGGGCCTGCACCTGGACGCACCCCGGGCATGAACTGAACTTGGTACCCATACCCCATAGGCTGTGACGGTACCATACCTTGACCGTTCTGACCTATGTACATTGTTGGATGGTGTGGTCCTGACATTGGACCTCCTGGTGGGTGATGATGGAACCCAGGCATCGGTGATGGAATTGGCGACATTGTCCCAGGTGATCTGATATGAGTAAATAGAGTCTGAAACACGTGAAAACATCAAGAGATAGTTTTAGAAGTCAGTGTCACAACACAACACAATTTGAAGTTCAAAGAGTGAGAGGGCTAACGAACCTGAAGGTGAGCCCGTCTTTCTTCTTTGCGTTGAGCAAAAGCAACGTAAAGAGGTTTTCTTCCAATCATCTTCCCATTCATTTCAGTCAACTGAGTATAATCATCATTCCCAATGAATGACATTTCAGTAACAATTTATAAAAGTATCTATGTATATGTAAAAAGATTGTGAATTAAGTTGAAACTTACAGCTCTCGTAGCCTCTTCAGGACTGGAGTAAGCAACAAAACCAAAGCCTCTGCTCAAACCTTGTGAGTTCATCATAACCTAAATATGACCAGGAACAAAAATTTTAGTTCACAATGTATGTGGTTAAAAGATGTGCTTTAGAATAAAAAACAAACCTTGCAGGAGGTCACGTTCCCATACTCAGAGAACATCTCCTTGAGCTTCTCATCATTCACACTATCATCAAGGTTCTTCAAATACAGATTTGATCCTTGTAATTTCTCAAACCTGCTTATCCTCTCTTGCTCAAATTTTCTCCTCAATTCCTCTTCCCTCTCAGACTTCTTCTGTGCCCTCCCAACATACAACACATCCTCCCCAAGGCTGATACCGTTCATCTTTTCAACCGCAACGGCAGCAGCTTCAGGGCTCTCAAAGTTCACAAACCCGAAAGACCTCGAGTTCCCACTCTGATCTTTCATCACAACCGCACTAGAGATATCTCCATATTTCCCAAAAGTCTTCTTAAGCTCATCATCAGTAATCTCCTTAGGAAGATTCTTAACATAAACATTAGTGAAACGCGGCACCGCACCGCTCTCACTACGAGACCTGTCCTGACGACGAACAAAATGGCCAACAAAGACTTGCTTATCATTAAGCAACATGCCATTAAGCTTGTCAATAGCAGCCTGAGCGGTTTCCTCCTTCTCAAACTGGACAAAGCCATATCCTTTCGAACGTCCCACCACATCCATTGCAACCTTGCAAGAGAGGATAATCCCGAAACTCGAGAATGTGTCATACAAAGCTTTGTTATCGATCGAGGGATCGAGGTTTTTGATGAAAACATTGCCTTTTCCACTCAATCGAGTACTCGGATCACGATTCGAGAGCATGATCCTTATCGGCCTGTCCCTGATCGGAGCATAGTTGAGACTATCCATCGCACGACTCGCTGATCCCATAAGAAAAACACAAAAAAAAATTAATTATAAAACAGCAAAAAAGAACAAAACAGCAAAAAGAACAAAACCACAAAAGCAAACACATGAACAATTTTATATTCCTCGTGTCTTAATCCATAATAATAATATTAAATTCAATATAAAGAGGGTTTTCAATAATAGTTACCATCTTCAGGGTTGGCGAAATTGACGTAAGCGTAACCAAGAGAACGACGAGTCAGATCACGACAAACCCTAACAGTCTGAACTGGAGACACTTGATTAAAGAGATTCAACAGTTGTGGCTCATCGACACTCGGATCTAAATCTCCGACATAGAGAGACGAGTTTGGATGCGTTTGCAAAGCCTCAGCCGCAGCAGCAGCAGCCGCAACCGCCGCAACCTGACTCACGGCAGGGAAAGGAGGAGGGGGAGCAGCAGCAACCGTCGGTTGATTTGGAACTTGATCAACCATGGCCGTCGTCGGGGCAATTCCAGATGCAACCGCCGCAGCCATAGCGCTGATTTCCTAGGTTTTTTTTGGGTGAGACAGAGAGAATCTGTTTGTGGTTTTCCAAAATTTTAAGGGGAGAATATTTATTTTTATTTTTTTCCTTTTTTGGGGTTACTCCGGTGAATAAGAAGAGGAGTAGAGAGACTCGAAAGGGTGTGAAGGAATGAGAGTTAGTATTTATACATTCGCTAACCAACCGGTCCCTAGGAATCGGAGTTCAATTTGTACCTTTTCTTTTGACTGAGTTTTTGTGGGCCAGTGGGCTTTTCTTGTACTGGCCAATATACCAATGCCACGTGGAGATTCACTTCTTCTACTTCTTTGTTTTGTTTTTGCTATATGTGTGTGTTTTTTTTTTTGTAATAATGTAAAAATTCATTTTTAACCTATTCAAATGTTAACCTATTTCTTCGTTACTATTTGACGACTTATAAAAAAAAATGTTTGTTAAATTCATGTTAAAATATTAGGGATCTACAACGTGAGTTATAATGATTAAAATTTCTTTTCTTTTTTTTTGTAGTTTTATAATTTTTTTGTTTTGTTTAACATCTAACTAATGGAATTTTAAATTTTTTTAAATTCATTTTTAACCTATTCAAATGTTAACCTCGTTACTATTTGACGACTTATAAAAAAAAATGTTTGTTAAATTCATGTTAAAATATTAGGGATCTACAACGTGAGTTATAATGATTAAAATTTCTTTTCTTTTTTTTGTAGTTTTATAATTTTTTTGTTTTGTTTAACATCTAACTAATGGAATTTTAAATTTTTTTGTAATAATGTAAAAATTCATTTTTAACCTATTCAAATGTTAACCTCGTTACTATTTGACGACTTATAAAAAAAAATGTTTGTTAAATTCATGTTAAAATATTAGGGATCTACAACGTGAGTTATAATGATTAAAATTTCTTTTCTTTTTTTTGTAGTTTTATAATTTTTTTGTTTTGTTTAACATCTAACTAATGGAATTTTAAAAATATATGATGCTTTTCGTATGTGTTTTAAATAAATGATATGATATCATCTACTGTTTTTGAAAATAAATTACACTAATACATAGTTATGACACTAATCACTTCTCAAACTCTCTTGATGATTGTTAGGATAGTTTTTTTTTTTTTGTTAATAAAAGTGTACTTAGTCACTCTGTCCAATATATAAGATGTTTTTAGGCTTTTTCTTTTGTTTGATTTTATTAGATTTTTTTAGTTTCTATGCATAATTTATATTCATAGTTTTTTTTTTAAGGTTTATTTGTGAGTGCATGTCGCAGTAAAGGTGAACAATGTTTTATGGCTCTAGAAGCTGAACTACAAGAATTGCTTATTGCAATGCAACAAGTTTGGATAAAAGGATATAAGAATGGAGAAGTGCAGAATTTTAAAGTTCACAATTGGGCCAGAAAAATCAACTATTGGAAGGCTAAGTTCTTAAGTGTTGAATTCCACTGGACACGACAACACAACAACAAGGCAGCTGACAGATTAGCGAAAGAACGTTTTCCACTGGATCGGAGTTTGATTTGACATACTTGTTGTTTTGACTGAGTTTTTGTGGGCCAGTGGGCTTTTCCAATATACCAATGCCACGTAGAGATTCAGTTCTTCTACTTCTTTGTTTTGTTTTTGTTATATGTGTGTTTTTTTTTTGTAATAAAGTAAAAATTCATTTTTAACCTATTCATATGTTAACCTATTTCTTCGTTACTATCTGACGACTTATAAAAAAAATGTTTGTTAAATTCATGTTAAAATATTAGGGATCTACAAAGTGAGTTATAATGATTAAAATTTCTTTTCTTTTTTGTAGTTTTATAATTTTTTTGTTTTGTTTAACATCTAACTAATGGAATTTTAAAAATATATGATGTTTTTCGTATGTGTTTTAAATAAATGATATGATATCATCTACTATTTTTGAAAATAAATTACACTAATACATAGTTATGACACTAATCACTTCTCAAACTCTCTTGATGATTGTTAGGATAGTTTTTCTTTTTTATAAAAGTGTACTCAGTCACTCTATCCAATATATAAGATGTTTTTAGGCTTTTTCTTTTAATCATTGGAGAAGTGCAGAATTTCAAAGTTCACAATTGGGCCAGAGAAATCAACTATTGGAAGGCTAAGTTCTTAAGTGTTGATTCCACTGGACACGACATCACAACAACAAGACAACTGACAGATTAGCGAAAGAACGTTTTCCATTGGATCGGAGTTTGATTTGACGTGGCTTTTGAGTTTTGACTGAGTTTTTTACATCTGGATCTTTTTGTGGGCCAATGAGATTTTTCTTCCTTTCGTTCTGGCCAATAACGCAATGCCACATGGAGATTCACGTTTTTGTTTTCAATGTTTTTTTGTTTGGGATAAAAGATTTTTGTTTTTGCTTTTTCTTCGTTGGTTTGTTTGTTATGTGTGTGTGTGTTTTTAGTTTGTAATAATGTGTAAATACATTTAAACATATTCAAATGTTAACCTATTAATACATGGCTATTTGACCAACTTTTTCTGTTAAATCTATTTATACTAAATCAACAGTCACTTTAACAAAAACTGCAAAACTCTCTATCTGACACGTGGCAAAACTCCCAAATTTTGCTCTTTCACTTTCCTAATCCAATTTTATTATTTTTGAAAAAAATAATAAAAAAAATAAAATCTTACCACTTTCTTAACAACCACTCATTTTCTCCACGATCTCAAATTTATTCTTTTTTTCAAACTCTCTCCCACTTTAATTTACAAAACCATTGTAATGAAAATAAAAAAAAAATAAAAAAAACAATTTGATTTGCTGTGTAATCCATTCCTAACACAACTTCCCACTTTCATAAACTCCGTTATTCAAATATTAAAGTAAAAATATTTAGATTTTTTTTAAGTTGGCATATATGTTGTCCCTTCATAGCAGGGCAATAACACTAGTACTATTAAACCCAGTTAGAAGTACATATAAAAAATGGAATCCATAAATGATGGATTTGACCACTTTATATACGGGGACAAAGTCTTCTAGTTAATTTAGGATCAATCACTTAATAGAGAAAAACATGTGTTTGTTAGATTCATATTAAAATTATGGATGAGATCTACAACGTTAGTTATAATGATAAACAAATTATTTCTTTGTTGTTTTATAATTTTTTTTTGTTTGACATCTAACTAATGAAATTGTAAATATATATGGTGTTTTCGTATGAGTTTTAAATAAATGATATGATATCATCTACTGTTGTTGAAAATAAATTACACCAATACATACTTATGACACCTGACTTCTCAAACTCTATTCATGGTTGTTAGGATAATTTTATGATAAAAGTGTACTCCCTCTGTCCAATATATAAGATCCTTTTATTTTGTTCATTTTTATTAGATTTTCTTTAGTTTTTATGCACAATTTATATTTATTTAATATTTTATAATTATTTTAGTTGTAAAGTATTTTTTTTATTGGTTGAATTTTTACAAATGAAAAAATAGTTAGAACTTTTAAATTTTTGTGTTTAACCAAAACATCTAAATAAATAGGACAGAGGGAGTAATTTGTTTTTTTTTTTTTTGCTTTAATTGTGTGTATCTTTTGAGGATTGGTGATAATAATGTGAAAATTCATTTAATTTAATCAAAGTCTATCTTTTTTTTTTGTTGCTTTTGAATTGACAACTTTGGATGTGGAAAAAGTCTTCATGGCATGTACAAAAATATGGGTGATGTCGACCCATTCATGTTAAAATCATTTTAGATTTATCTCAATCATTATCTAGCATGTGTACGAAACTGAGCATGGCATGCATGACAATAATAAATTTTCATATATTCCAAGGTACAACACAAAAATTAATAAGATACTTATCATCAAGTTTGTAACTTTATTATCAGGAGCAATGTAAAGATTAAATATGGACAGGCTTGTTGTAGCTCTACCAAACTTTTGGTTTTTAGAAAATATCAGTTTCCATCAAAATGGCAAAAACCACATCACATTACACATGGAAATGCATAAAACTAAAAATTTCAACAAGATGCAAATGAAGAAAATGCTTACTCTCTCTTAGTTCTGAAAGCAAGCAATTTGGCGCCTCAAGGCTTATCAAAGACAAAGAGTGTTGCCAAGGAAAGGAACTTGTTGGGTTAAGACAAGAAAACCTCTATATATATGGTCGATGAAGGACTACAAATTTCGACCACATTTCAAGCAAGACGAGTGTTAGGGTCTGCGAAACTACCAGCCATACTTCTTGAAGAAGTCTCTGGTTCTCTTCCTAGCTCGAGTGAATACTATTACTATGCACGCGAGCACCCACGGAGGAAAAGTACCAATGGAGATGTTGTTCTTGATCCACGCTGGAGGGTCTTTCAATAAAAATGTTATTAAGAGCGTAACGATCACGACCCCGAGAATGATTCTTGTGATGGGTTTGAGCAGGGAATCCTGAAAACAAAAAGTGTTCAAATAAATAGTGTCATCAGATTAATCATCCAGTTAATTGCAACTTATTGGGAGTGGTTGTTTTAACGTTTTTTCTACTTATAGCCATATTATCTAAAAACTCCAACAAATTCAGAGTACTGTGTCATCCTATCTAGTTTCTACATAAGTCCAGTAAATATCTGAGAGGTATAATTCCCTGAAAATTCTAACTTTCGGCAAGAATAGAAATCTTTGACCTAAAGTTAAAGTTATACAAGAGTACAAGACACCAGTCCATGTGAATAGAAATTCTACAGCAATGTGAAGAGTATATTGATGACATGTATGTGGTTTCATGGGTGGAGAAAGATAATGTTGAGCAATTGTACTATCCAATAGCATGAAGAACAGGTAAAGGAGACCAGAATAAAAAAAGGTCCTGAGGAATTATCAAGCAGATGCAACACTCAACAACACTGTGAAACATTTCACTTGCAACACTCTTTTTTATGACTTCCTACGTTTTCTTCAACAGATGTTATCTACATTACGATGTACATATAACCAAATTCACCAAGATTTCAAAATACTTCATTCTAGAATAAAGTTGGGAACTATAACTATCCTTTTCCTTTTGCGGAAGTCAAAACTCCAAAATCAAAACAATCACCAGATTCAAGAGAAGGAACAACGATTACCTGAGGTTCACCGTCGATGTAAATGACGGCACCATCCCTATAAGGCAACACAGACCGACCATTCCTAGGGTGAAATCTGATCGGAACAGCACGACCTTTCTCAACGTTGAAAGCGAAGATTGATTTCAATCCATACTTATCAAGAATAGATCGAACCTCGAGCTGATCCTGCTCATAACCACCGAGATTTGACTTGAACACATCGATCGGACCTTTTCCACACTTATACAGATGGATCTCAACCTCCGGTACCTTCGCCGCCGCGGTCTTCGATCTCAATTCACCGGCCGGTTGAGAATCGTCGAGCAACGGAGTGGTCTCTTCAATCTCTTGCTGTAGTGGATCTCTCTCCTTCTCCGTCATCGATGACATGACTAACAACAATTCACCGGTCCGATCAAATTTTTTATTTATTATCCCAAAGAAAGCAAAAAATTATTATTCCGTATAAAACGATACCGTTTTGAATCAGGCCTGTTCATGTTTGGGCCTTGTAATGGGCCTAGAGATTGGCTAAACGTTTGGTTACCATCAGTTGTCTTCTCAGAGAAGAAGTGTTTTTTTTTTTCTCCGGCGAGGTTGAGAAAAATGGAGGCAGCGTTGGGACTTCTGAGAAGAATGCCGCCGAAGCAGTCGGAGACGGCTCTATCTGCACTTCTAAGTCTCATTCCTCAACATTCTTCCGATCTTCTCTCTCAAGTAGATCTCCCTCTTCAGGTATTTCTCTATCTTGATCGAGATTTGAAATGTGATTTTTTTTTTCTTGAGTTCGTGGAGAATCAAAAGGACTTGGTTATGTAATCACAGGTGTTACGTGATATTGAAAGTGGGAAAGATTTCATCTTGTGTGAGTATAATAGAGATGCTGATTCCTACAGGTACTTTTTTGCTCTATTTCATTGTGTAGAGAGAAAATGATAATGTTGGATTGGATGGATTTGGTTTGGGATGATACAGTACTTCGTGTTCATAGCTAAATTGCTATTTGTTGGTTCTTGTAATCTTTACTTTTGCAGGTCTCCTTGGTCAAATAAATACCTTCCTCCGCTAGAGGATGCTCTTTACCCATCGTCTGAATTAAGAAAGCTTGAAGTTGAAGCCAATGATATCTTTGCAATCTACCGTGACCAGTGAGGTTCTTCACTTATCTCGTTCCACTTGAAAACCATGTAGTGAAAATAATTTGAGAAGTGATTTATCTCATGGTTTAAACATATATGATATGTGTTTCATGCTTCTAATGTATACACGCCTCCTGAGGTTCGCTTAATTCATCAGCTTAGGGAAAGTATCCATAAGATCGGCGACTGGAATGCTAAGTTGCCAAAAGAACACCTGTTTTGATCAGTTTTCTTTTCCAGGTATTATGAAGGTGGTATATCTTCAGTCTACATGTGGGAAGATGATAATGAAGGCTTTGTGGCATGTTTCCTTATTAAGAAGGGTATTTTCTTTCTGTAAAGTTCAATAACACCGAAGGTTAGGCAATAACAACTCTTTACCTGAGCTGTTCTGGTTTTTGTTTCTTGAAGATGGGTCAAAGTCAGGTCATGGTCGGAGGGGATGCCTGGAAGAAGGAGCGTGGGATGCCATACATGTTATACAGGTAACACTGTTAACATATTTACATACCATTACTAAGCCTGCCTTTTGTGTTACAAAATGGTAACATTTTAACATAGTTTCCTAAGCAGAGACTTCATATCTTTCTTCTAATGCCTGAGGTTCTCAACATAGGTTGGTCCAGAGGAGGAGGAAATGGCACAGTATTGCTTAACAAGTACCATCATGCTCTCTCTGACCACTGATGATGAGTCTTCAGGCAAATTCGGCTTATCTGGATCAATTAGAAGACAAGTAAGTATTAGCTTCTATTTGGCCCATGCATTCATAGATAAATAGTTCCGGGTAGGAATAGTGATTTATAGAGGAATACCAAATATCTCTAAAAGAATAACATTATTATCCTTCTACTATTGAAATTAGATGAAAATGGAGTTAGCAGTAGCTGACGGACACCTGTGCAATATGGGGAGAATGATTGAAGAATTGGAAGGCAAACTTAGGAACTCGCTTGATCAGGTTCTACCTCCAATCCCTTACACCAATTCCACCAAACTCCTTCTGCTTGTGTAACCTCATATAATGCTGAAATTGGTTTCCTAATTACCCCGCATTCGGATTGCTTAGTTAGTTAAGCACTTAAGCTCATGCTACAGTTCTGTGACTATTTGGAAAATCCACAAAATATACTGGAGTAATCATCATATAAACCGTATACGGGAATTCTAGGATAAGTTTTAGATCAGATCACTTTCTATCATCTCATGAACTAGTCCAGAGAACACCAAGAAAAAAGAATAACATAACGTGTAGCTTCAAAGTTTGAGAATTGTTTTGTGAAAATCGCAGGTTTACTTTGGGAAGACGAGAGAAATGGTTTGCACATTGCGTCCACCAGCTGAGATTGTACAAATGAGATTACCTGACACCTGATGCTCCTCCCATCACATTTTCTGTAAGAAGACTTCGATTTTGTTTTTGTTTTGGTTTGTCTGATCTTAAACGCTTCTCTGACTGTTTTGTGTGGATGCCTCTTACTTTACTTTGTTGTTTTTCTCTGACTTCACCATCATGTGATTACCTTTTTCCATAGATATGCAAAGAAATGATGCGGCTTTTAAAGTCGTATTATATATTATGGAAATGCTTGAAATCCTCCAAAAGTATAGAATAACAGAAACAGTGATCAGTGGTGGCTACGACATGTTGTGAACTTAGGACCAAAGCACTGCCTTTGACATGCTTACCGAATGGACAAAAAATAGTAAGAATCCATGAGATGACAGAGAGACTTACAATTGAAGGAAGAAAACGCCACATGAGAAATGCTAATTATTCGAAGTCTCCATTATGTATGTATATCTATCTATATGTTACATTATAAATCTCTCTTTTAATATCCCAAGTGCTAGCGTCGAACCCTCCCTCTCATGACTCTATCCTAAAACGTGAAAAACGGTTGCGAGTAATTATACTTAACGCCATTTGTTTGGTTAAACTTTAAGTGGGCCATCTATTACAGTCATTATTTTGTTATAAATGGGCTAAACCATTTGTTGGGTTAATTGGCCCAAATTGTTTGTCAAAAATGTTGAAACGTGACCAGTGTGACCACAGTTATGGTCGGAGTTGGAGATGAAGCTACAGAAGCCGAATGACTTATTTGTTTTTTTTTTTTTTCGCCGACTTATTTGTTTCTTTGGACATACAAGACTACAAGTAGTACATGCTTTGTGGCAAAGTGCTCCACAATTAGGCTGCTTAATCAAAAAGTTAGTCACTAATAACTGGGAGTATCAGATTAAAAAAAATAAAATAATAACTGGGAGTATGATTTAGTGAAATCTTGATTTAAATTGGCAAAATTCAGTATTTCGTTTTTAATTATACAAAAATTAATTAATTCATTGAGTTGATTTTAGGCAAGTATAATACTAAAGCAAATTAGGTTTTAGATTTAAAAATGTCCTATTTATACTCTTTTCTTCCACTAAAATAAATTATGAGTTTGAATTCAAGTGATTTTTTTTTTGGCATCAGAAGGCTATTATTCTATTACTCAAAACAAATTCAAGTGAGAAGTGATTACAATAACAAAACTAATCACTAAACTACATGTATTTTAGTCCAACATATATAAAAGGATATTAATATAAATTTCCTTTTAACGTCACAAAAATAAAAGTTTCAAGTTTCCTTTTTTTTCTACTTTCCTTTTTTTTCTTTTTGTTGTAGAGAGAGATATGAAATAAATACCGACGACGGTACTAATCGTTTTGCTAATAATTTTCATTCGTCTTCTTAACTCTTATTAACCAAAAACTGAAAAAAGTCCTATCGACGACGAATACGAAAGATCTCTCTGAGAAGAATTTAACGAAACTCGCTGTTTCGAATTCAATTGAAACTCGAACCGTTTCTTTGAGGAAGAAGATGAAGCCGCGCTTCACCTTCTTCTTCGTTATCTTCTGTTAATTCCAATGGCTTCATCATCCCAACGACGCTGCGTTTTTGGTAACTCACTCTTCTTCTTCTTCTTCTTCTTTCCTTATCATTCTACGAATTCTCTTCGATTTTGGATTCAATTGGTTTAAAGTTTTCGACTTTCTTCATCTATTTTAGTTGGGAACATTCCTTACGACGCGACCGAGGAACAACTTAGAGAAATTTGTGGAGAGGTTGGACCTGTTGTCTCGTTTAGGTCAGTTTATTGTTCAATTCGTGTCAATTTTGTTTTAGGGTTTTGATAAAAGGAAACACCTTTCTTCAAACAAAAGAAACAGAGAAGCCTAATATAAAATTCTGCTTGTTTGCTTTCTTGGATTCAGATTAGTTACGGATAGAGAAACTGGTAAACCAAAAGGCTACGGATTTTGTGAGTATAAAGACGAAGAAACAGCATTGAGTGCTCGTCGTAATCTTCAGAGTTATGAAATCAATGGTCGTCAATTAAGAGTTGATTTTGCTGAGAATGACAAAGGCACTGACAAAACCCGTGATCAGGTTACTATTCCTTTACTTCTTCTGCTACTGTTTTGATGGGTTTAACAACTTAAGCTTTCATTGTCAATAAGTTATAACTGAAGATGGGAACTTTGGTTTTCAGGGTCAAGGAGGACCTGGTTTGCCTTCTACTTCTGGTATGTTTTGTTTTAGTCTCTGAAACTTTACTGACCGCAATTGTGTTTGGATGAGCAAAACTAATTATATTGTTTTCCTTTCTTTTGGCTGTTTAATGACAGAGTCTCAGAAGCAGATTGGAGGGCCTGGAGATACAAATATGCACCAGCCAGTTGGTCTCAATGTTGCTATAACAGCTGCATCTGTTATGGCGGGTGCGCTAGGTGGTCCTCAGGTCGGTTCGCAGTTTACACAAAGTAATCTGCAGGTTCCAGCTAGTGATCCCCTGACTCTCCATCTTGCCAAGATGTCTAGAAGTCAGCTTACTGAAATTATATCGTCCATTAAGGTATGAATCTCGATATCGTTTTTTTCTTGTTTTTTGGCGTATTGTTATACTATTGGATGCGAGTGGTGTGATGTGATTGTGTTCTCTCAATGATCAGTTAATGGCTACACAGAATAAGGAACAAGCTCGACAGTTGTTGGTTTCAAGACCTCAGTTGTTAAAAGCTGTTTTCCTGGTACTTACTCATTCCTCAGTTCTGCAAATCATTTGACTCTTACAAGTTAGTTGTTGGTGATTCATGCGAACTAGGAGGGAACAATCTGTTTTAGTTTCTATTTAGAAAGTGTGCTCTTGATAGATATATAGATGCTATTGCTATACACTTCAATATCATTTTTACATTCCCATCAAATGTGTGATGAATTAAACCATTTTCTGACTTTAATTATCCCTCAACTAGCTGAGAAATGTCTCTTCGAGGGTGTTTTACTGTTTTATGATCTCTCATTTTTTCATTATTGACAAATATTTCTTATGATACTATGATACTTACACCATCTTTTGAACCTATACTTTGTCTACCCTTGTAGGCGCAGATAATGCTTGGGATTGTGAGTTCGCAAGTCGTAAGTTTTCCATCTTATCGAACAGTTTTGTGCTTCTTCCTTCTCTATCTATCTGTCATGTCTTATGAGGATTATTGCCATTCTTGAATTGTGCAGTTGCAGTCGCCAAATATTGTTCAGGCCCCAAGTCATATGACAGGGTCTTCAATTCAAGACACACAATTATCTGGTCAAAATCTTTTACCGCCACTGGCACAAAGGTCGCAGCAGCTAAGTCGTGCTCCCCATAGTCAGTATCCTGTTCAACAATCTTCTAAACAACCTTTTAGTCAGGTTCCACAACTAGTAGCACAGCCAGGTCCTTCTTCTGTGAATCCTCCTCCTAGATCCCAAGTTAAAGTCGAAACAGCTCCATTCCAACGCCAGCAAGTGGTTCCAGCTTCCACCAACATAGGTTACAGTAGTCAGACTTCAGTTCCGAATAATGCTATCCAGCCATCTCAAGTACCCCACCCAGCATTAACAAATTCTGTGATGCAGGTGAGTTTCTAAATACTTTAATTTTTAGAGAATGAAGCCATGGTTGGTGATAGAAATCTACTTTTTTGAAAGTCGTTGCATAGTTTAGTACACAAACACATACCCAAAGGATTGTTCTGTATTAATTACCATCTTTTATAGGGAGAGCTTATTCGTAGTTGAGCATTAAAGAGTGTTTAGTGGACTATATGACCCTTGTAATCACTTTCCTTCTCTTATTTGTCGTTTTGGATTTCTCTGAAGATAAGTTCTCGTGTGTATTTATTTACATTACAGCAAGGTGGGCAAACGGTATCATTAAATTATGGCAAAAGAATAAACGAGGGTCCTCCTCATCAATCAATGAACAGACCATCAAAGATGATGAAAGTGGATGATAGGAGAACCACTTCACACCCCGGAGGTCATGCGTCTAATTCAACGCATCCGAATCAAGTACAAGCTCCCCAGGTATTATCAATCACATAATTTGGAATCGCTCAGAAATGCCTTGAATGAAATCTATTAATCTGTAAATCCTTGCTCCGTGCTTGATTTTCTCTTTCTCTAGACACGTATCTCCCCCGATGTCCAGTCAACATTGCTCCAACAAGTAATGAACCTTACGCCAGAACAGCTGAGATTGCTGACTCCAGAGCAACAGCAAGAGGTCTTAAAGCTGCAACAAGCGCTCAAGCAAGACCACATGATGCAGCCTTCATAGCATTGCGGTAGGTTTCTTATAATATCATCAACCTGTGTTGCCTTCATTCTTCTCTGTGATATTTGAATCTAATTCTCATCTCCGTTGCACCTTTCTTCTATTCACAGGGGAAAGCAACTCGGTTGGTCGATTTCATTGCATAGATCAAAAAGGATCTTTTTCGCATACAAATCACCATAGAAAGAAGAAGGCTCTCTCACCTGAATTGAGGCGAGTGATTGTACGATTAGGGTAGCATTTATTTGTGCTGAGTTTGTCTTATAGAAGAACCATTCAGCCATCAAAATATAAAAGGAAAGAGAAAGTTATAAGTTCAATGTCTCAGACTAACTGTGTTTATCTCTCTTATTTTTTTTTTATTACTGTCTTTGTTTCCTGCAACAACACAACTCTCGTTCGTTGGTTTTAATCCTGTGGCCCCTAGTTTGGTCACTGGTGAAGATTTTACTATTTCGTTAATAAACATTTTATTTTCACTACACAAAAATTTAGACTAAGCTTACAAATAGTCAAATATGGGGAAAATAAGATGGATTAAAACGAGCATTGACGAAACAAAAACTGAGATTGTTTTATCTGATGAAGAAGAAGTTGCTTTTTTTGTATATAATCCGTTGTAAGTGTCGGATCAAAACATCCATTCCTCTGATTCTCTTTAAGCTTTTCTGTAAAAAATTATAAATAACTCAAATCGCAGGAGTCTTGTCTAAAATCTGCAAGTGTTTTTTTTTTTGTAATCGGACATCAAAGAAACATCCTGCGAATGGTTCTAGCAAAAGCCCGAGACACCAATCTTCCAACCAAGTCACCTGGCAACTGAAGCAACCTCTGTTGCGATTCCTGTGGAAGCTGCCACGTTCATTCAAAACCCGAAAAAGAAGTTAGGACAATTAGTCTCGAATCACAAATTGTTAAAAAATGTAATGGACTCGTAAAATCAAGTTCAGAGTTGCAACATTTGTAACCTCAGGTAAGATGGAGAGAATCGGAAGCATCTCTTGTGCTGATGGAAGCTGATACATGACCAGTGATGCTTCGTCTAGAGGCGTGAGTGCCTCACCATATTTACTCACCGCTTTTACTTGCTGCAAGTTTGTTGCAGCAAAACATTAAAGATAAAAATAGCAAAAGAACATTTGATCTACTTTACAAAAAGCAGAAGGAAAGAGAAATTTGTTACCATGCTTACGCTTTCAGCCTTTCGCATCCCTGAGAACAATGAGATGAGGCGATAGAATGTTCTAAGGTTTGTCATGTCTTCTTCTGTCAAGGAAGTGGATGGCCCTGAACCAGAAAATGTGAAAGAGTCCAAAGTTGCCAATCCATATGCATCAAGACCCTGTTGAATAATCAATCATAAGCAACACAGATACTCAATCCTTTTGATCAACAAACAATGACATTTGCACGCAACTAATGCAAGGGATTTTGATTACTATCAAATAAACATAAATGTTTAAATAGTAATTTTTGTCCACTATTTGCTTCTCAAGCCAATCACTTTACCAATTGAACTGTGGTAAATGCTCACCTTAGCTAATTCACGAAGAAGGATTTCTCTTACAAAAGAACCCTGTTCAATGTTTCAAGATTTTAGTAGTTGTAACATTACTTTTACAATCCGTAGTACAAAAACTACGGCTTAAATATACCTGTTCCGTGAAAGTAAAAGCAAGCATTTGTTTCATGGCGATATTAGAGTCTGTCCCCACCACTGGTTTCTGAACTAATGCCGTCTCTGTTCTAAGAGACTGAAGAAAGTAGATGTGTATAAGAAACCAAATGCTAATCTTTGTTATTTAAACAGAAAAATCCTATAACACCCAAGCTATTCATTTCCCAAATCATCATGCAGATTTCACAGTCTTTCATTGGCTCTTAGGCCGTCTGGTAGTATCATTATCCAGCTGTTTACTGACTAATTTACCATTGAACACAACATAGCCCATTAACACAAAGCCACAAGCTCAGAACCCTGATAACAAACAACAAAGAAACTGACGTGCTAATGTACATAAATTAGCAAGTATTAACAATAAAAACCAATAGACTTTAGTGCATTTTGCAACCCGTAGATAGTCAAACAACCGAAAAGGTATTAGAATTCAGTCTCACCTCAGAAAGCAAAGACTCAAGACGGTCGATTCGGAAAACACCTTCCTGGCAGAGACACACATATAAACGACAGCACGTTCAGGAAGATACATAATGTGAAATGAGGGTGACCAGTCTGATTAGACAAGATAGTTTGGTACCTCATATAAAAGATTTTGCAGAGAGCTTTTCAGCTGTGGAGAGCTGTCAGTTAGAATCTTTCTAGCAATCCAAGGGTATGTACTGCCTAAAACCTTGTAGTTTGGGCTTATACCGATGGCAATGCCCTCCAAAACAGCAAGGCTGGGAAATGAAAGATGAGAAGCCAAATATTATGTGAATGCTGCCTTAGTAGATAGAAAGTGGCTAATCACATATAATTGAATAAAGCAATTAACGCATAGACCAGTTGGACCTACAATCTTGTGCAAAAGCTCTTAGCATTTGTCTATGTTTATTTAACAATACTATATCTACATGACTTAAAAGTTTGAGAAATCTCAACAGCTCAAAACATTCAATCGGCTACTAGAGCGAAAAAAAAAGATTAAGTACCTGCGGATAACTAGAGAAAAATAGGGAGGTATTCTAAATTTGAATCGGTACCTGAAAGTTTGACAAATGAATATCAGCATCTAATAAGTAAGCACAAATTATAAGTAGAGTTCTTTTAAATGTCCCTCTCTAAGCCATATATTAGTTGAAGTGATGTGTTACTACATTGTTTTTCCCAAGTCGCCAAGCAGGTCACCAAAGCTTATATTGCGAACTCCTCTAGAAATCGCATCTTGAAAAACATCTGTAGAAAATAAAGGGGAGACAATAGTTTCAGAACAGCACGACCAAAACTTTCAATACAAACAAGTACCTGCATAAAACCAAAAGCAAAAACGAACCGGTTAAAGCCTTTGTCACAGCGCTCTTTTCTGCTGTTGGCGGAAGAAGCCTATAGAAGTTTTGCGGATAAGATTAGGTAATGTTGACAATTAAAAGTTCAGATTCAGATAGACACCAATGACTAGAGTACCCCAGAGTTACAAAGTCTTTAGCCAGCGCTTTGAAGTCACGATTTACGAGATGAAGACATGCTTCCATGAATCCATCACGTAATTCTGGCCTAAAGTCCCCCATCATACCAAAATCTGGCAGCAAAAAAAAACTAAAAGTTCAATACAGAAAATCAGATACCCAGAGAGGCAGCAAAATATACTTCTTGGGACCGTAAAATCTGTCTTTAGTTTGTAGACATCAAACCCAAGTATATATACAGAAAATCAGATATCCAGAGAGGCAGCAAAAGTCTCATTCGTATCTGGAGCAGAGATTGATTATCACGGGCGTATAACATCGAATCATCGAAAAATAGAAAAACCATTGAGCAAAAAAGTAAATCGGTTTTCATGTTTCTGATTAGTTCGCTGTATGATCAGATAGATTAGCTGAAACACAGGTCGAATTGAACTTTAACCAAAGCATCAGTGACCAGTCTTTATTCTTTGAACGAAAAACACGTATAAAAAAAACATTATCTGGAATTCTGGACCATGGAGGGCAACATGATAACACATAACGCATGGTATCAAGATTAACGAATACCTAAGTATGCAAGCTGCCCATCATACGTGCGAAGAAAATTCCCAGGGTGGGGATCGGCATGGTAAAATCCATACTCCAGAAGTTGATTAAACGAACAGTAAACGCCAACCTCAACTAAATAAAGGTCATTAACTTCATTAAGCTTCTGACCCTGCCATACAGAAAGTAGAATACACAAAATTATAGTTTGCTTAGGAAATATAAAATTTTCTTGGGCTGAAGAAAACATATACAACTCTTTGGTGCAAACCAGAAAAATGATTTTTTGATTGCGAACGTTTGACTTCATACCTCCACCCACTCCATTACAAGAACTTTGCTGGTACTGTACTCTGTGTACATCTTTGGAACCAAGACATCTTTGATGCCACCATACAACTTCCTATTCAAGCATTCAGAGTGTTACTTTAGGGAATCCCTTATAGAAAATTTAACAATTAGATGAGCTAATAATGTTGTAGACAAAAATTTATCATGTTGTTCAAGTACCACATGATCTATAGCTCAAATCAATTATTTATAATGGAACTACAATGTTAGACAAAGCCATAACATATACAGGAGATCAAACAAGAGTGGACAAGACTCAAACCTTAGCAGGATTTACCTAAATTTTATTCCGTTTTGGGCTTCATTCAAGTAATCCATCTCCTGCATTCAATTTGATTTACCTGTATTCAATATAAAGCTCTAAGATATTCCTCGAGCAAGAATTAAATGAAACAACTAGTCCATCTAAACGATCGTTCAAGACATTTAAAGAAATCGTTAGCATCATCACCTTAGCCGCTGAAAATTTCTACGGAACAGAAAAGTAGGATTGCATAAAGATTAAAGAGAAAACAGTCTGGCGCTTTTTTTAATCAATGACGGAGAAGAGAAGCATCAAGAACAAAATATACTCTATGAAATGAAACTATCTAGGAAAAACATGGAAACCTACTTGTGATAAGAGTGTTTTTTTACCTTAAACAGACTTGTTGCCCATTCATCAACAACTGCCTGCATATGGAATATCACTTTTTAGCATTGAAACGGGTTTAACAGAAAGTGAGAATCAGAATTCTTCAAAAAAAATCTACTAGAACCCTCTGAAATGGATTCTAGAGTTAAGTTTCAACAAATTCAAATGTTGTTCTTCTGCACACCTAAAGAAGTTTCAAAAATTTAAGTAATGTTGACATAAAACATTTTTTCATCAGTTCAAAAGAAGGCACCAATTTACACAAGTTTTAAGTCACCTCGAGATCAGAGTTGAATCTTCCAGCCTTTTTAATCAAACCCGCTATATATCGCAGAATTAATGTGTCCAAAGCAATAGCAGCTCGTACACCAGGCCGCTGAACTTTGACAGCAACAACCTTTCCACTTCTACGGAGCCTAGCTTGATATACCTGAAACGTGGACCAAAGTAGGATCCACAAAATAAGAGAAACTCATTAGAAACTAGCATTGGATAAGCTTTAGACCATCAAGAACATGCTTCACACATACCTGTCCAAGGGACGCTGCAGCTACAGGCTCAGGAGATATCTCAGAGAAAAGCTCATCTATAGGAAGGCCAAGTTCATCCTCTATCATGTTGAAAGCAACTTCGCTTGAAAACGGAGTTATTTGATCTTGTAGCAAGGAGAGTTCATCCAAGTATACAGGAGGTATCAAATCCTATATAATGAATAAAGCTAGTTCAATAACAATCACAAAGCTCCAGAAAATGAGAATTGACAATGTTAAGAAAGACGCTTACGGGACGAGATGAAACAGCTTGAGCGATTTTGACGTACGCCTAACAACAAGTTCAAGACGAAAAACCATTACATCTTAACCACCAAAAGAGAGAAGCACACTCTCGCATTGAGCAATTTGAAATGAATTGATGATGAAATCATACCGGACCTAGTTCCACCAGCAATTTCCTAAGCTCCGCAGCTCGTACCTAATGATACCAATTCGTGAAATCGAAAACGAAGCATGAGAACAAAAATCATCGTTGTTTAAAGGAATCATTGAAGAGCAAATCAGACCTTGAACATCTGCTCAGACCGTTCCAAAGCCTCATCGGCTAAGCGAAGCCCAAACCAGTAACCAAACGTAGTTCCGATCTGAGCTAATCTACGAAGCAGAATTAGAGGCTTCTTCTTATACATACCATCAATCCTGGAAAAATTGTACTCCGACAAAGAATCAGCCTCATCGGCACTGAGACTGAACAAATAACCGGATTTACTCGTGAAGCTATCTACATCTCTAGACGCAGCGGAGGCAACAACGGCGGAGTTTCCTCTTCGCGACGGCCAAGACGATTGTGGATTAATCAGCAGATTGGGATTGGCGGGAAAAGAAACGATTGGCATAGAAGAAGGAAGCAGAATCATAATTATTTCTTCCAATAAACTAGAGATTTTTTTTCTTCGCCGATCGTTGTGTGGTTTTTGAATATCTTTTTTTGTTAAAGGTGGTTTTTGAATATCATGCAGAGGATTCTTCTAAAAAAATGGCTAATATGAAAACTCTCTACTGTTTTATCTCTTTTTTGCTGGTCACATTCTTTATACTTTCTCTCGTCCCTTCGACATTTGCTGGGATTTTCTGTGTCACACAAATGGCACCAATCTTTTTCTACATATTTAAGAATTATAATGTCCATAAATACACTTTATTTAGCTATATTACTGTATCATTCCACTATTCATATTAATTTAATATACCACCCATTAGAAAACAATGGGCCGAGAGAGATATCTCTTCTCTTAGTGGGCTTTAGGACTAAAAACGACCGAATTCGTCACCGGTTCAGTACATAATTTTGGGTCGGCAAAATCCAAAACAAAACCAAACCGAATCGAACTGCTCCAGAAGCAAGCGGCGTGTCATGGATTCATCGCCACGGAACACTATGACCACCACAGCGCCGCGTTTCTCTGAACTCAAACCTCCGCTCTCCGAAGATATCATCGAGGCGCTTGACCGGTCCGGTTTCGAGTTCTGCACTCCGGTTCAGGCCAAGACGATCCCTTTACTCTGCAGCCACAAGGATGTCGCCGTCGACGCAGCCACTGGTTCTGGAAAAACCCTAGCTTTCCTCCTTCCCCTCGTAGAGATTCTCCGTCGATCCACCTCCTACCCTCCCAAGCCACACCATGTTATGGGGGTGATTATATCGCCAACGAGAGAGCTATCAGCGCAGATACATAAGGTGGCACAGCCGTTTGTCTCGACTTTGCCAAATGTGAACTCTGTTCTGCTTGTTGGAGGTCGAGAGGTGGAAGCTGACATGAATACTATCGAAGAAGAAGGAGGCAATATCTTGATCGGCACGCCTGGAAGGCTTTCAGATATAATGAAACGAATGGAGTTTCTGGATTACCGAAATCTTGAGATTCTTGTTTTAGATGAGGCCGATAGGCTTTTGGGGATTGGTTTCCAGAAGCAGGTCAATTACATTATATCTCGCTTGCCAAAGCAACGTAGGACTGGCCTCTTTTCAGCTACACAAACACAAGCTGTTAAAGAGCTGGCCAAGGCTGGCCTTAGGAACGCTGAGAAAGTTATATTGCGACCTGAGTCAAAATCGAAAACGCCTTCTGGTCTGTATAGTGAGGTATTATTGTTAGGTCAATATTTAAAGCAGACATTTCTATCTTTAGATTTCCTACTTTATGCATTTCTGAGCGGTTTATTTCTTCTTGTCGACTCTGCAGTATATGAAATGCGAAGCAGATAAAAAGTCATCACAACTAGTGGATCTCCTCATCGAGAACAAAAATAAAAAGCTTCTCGTGTAAGTTTTTATAACATTGTCACACAGACTCATAAAATTAAGCATCCTTACAGATAGTCTAAGTAGTATCTCTTCTGCAGATTCTTTATGACCTGTGCTTCTGTTGATTACTGGGGACTCGTACTTTCAAAAATTCCTACCCTCAAGTCCATTTCCTTCTTTCCTATCCATGGGAAGATGGATCAGGTAAGCTACTTTTGATGTAATTTACAACATTCCACATCACTCATTGCATGTTGTTATGGAGGGTTCAGTTCTGATGAAATATACTTTACACATCAGAAAGCTAGAAACAAGGCATTAGCTTCGTTTACAGAGGCATCAAGCGGTGTCCTTCTATGCACAGATGTCGCTGCACGTGGACTTGACATTCCAGGCATCGATTACGTTGTTCAGGTGGATTGATTATTGTTTGTTTTCCATGGTTATGCCATCTTTGTTGCCATGGATTTTCACAGGTTGTTGTAATTGGTGCAGTATGATCCCCCACAAGACCCAAATGTATTTATCCATAGGGTTGGCAGGACTGCAAGACTGGAAAGAGAAGGAAGGTCCATTGTGTTTTTAATGCCCAAGGTTTAGCTTTGAACAGCACCTTTATGTTATTTATTCTGTCGTGCCTGATGTTCTGCATATTTACATTTCACTTTTCTTTCGTGTGTAGGAGAAAGACTATGTAGAGTTTATGCGCATAAAAAAAGTCCCTCTTCAGAAAAGAAAATGCTCTGAGAACGCTTCCGATGTCATCCCGATTGTAAGAAAACCTCCATGTATCTCTTTCTCTCTGGCTCGGTCACATGGTGGTTTAATAATTGCTACAATGTAAAATGCAGATACGTTCACTAGCCATGAAGGACCGGGAAGTGTTGGAGAAGGGATTAAAGGCATTTGTTTCCTTTGTCCGTGCTTATAAGGAGCATCACTGCTCTTTCATTTTCAGGTTCATGAGGCCCAATCGTTTTTTTTCTTGAGTTGCTAAATATGTTCTCGCTCTTTAGCTTTTGTAACTCAAAATCTTTTTTTCCCCTTAAATTTACAGTTGGAAAGGACTTGAAATCGGAAAGTTAGCCATGGGATATGGCATCTTGTCTTTTCCTTCAATATCTGAAGTTATACAAGACAGAATTAACATTGTCGGTTTTACACCTGTCGAAGGCATCACGTTTGAGGACATAAAATTCAAGTAGGTTTTGCTGTCTTTGAGTACCTTTTACATAAACGACAACGTTTTAGATTTAGAGGAAACGAGTTTTGGTAGCCTGAAGTCTTTGTCCCTCGGCTGTAGTTTCTTCATGAATCATTTGCTCTCTGAGACGAGGGGTAGCCATTTTTCTAAGTCCTAATTGTTTTTGGAATAAACGCAGGAACAAATCTCGGGAGAAACAAAGACAGCAAAACTTACTAGCAAGGAAAGAAAAACTGCAACAAGAAAAGAGAGAGAAAGGCAAGAAAAGAGAGAGAAAGGCGGTTGATGATTCTAACAAAGCGTCGAGAAAGAGAAAGTTAACGAAGAGGCAAAGACAAACTATCCAAACAGCTCAAGATGAAGAAAAAATGAATGAAGATTATGGGTTACTGCAAAAACTGAAGAAAGGTTCAATTACAGAAGATGCATTATTTGCAAAACTTACAGGAGCTGATGATTTTGTCTGATAAAGATGCAAGAAAACCTTTCAGGCTTGGACTAGAGCAGCAGAGACGGGAAGGTGGACGACTATTTAATATAATAGAGAATACTCTCTCATGTGTTAAAAAGCAAAGATGGCTTTTTTTTTTAATAACTGAGATCATGTTTTGTCGTTTGGTTCTATTTTATGAAATTGATTCTAAACATATTGGTCAGAAAGAATTTAGCAAAAGGATTCTCAAATTTAAAAAGCTCTCGAGTGGTTTTGTTTTTGGTGAGAAGAAAAATTCTATAATTAGAAACTAAAGCTCTCTAGCAACAAGACACGATGTCTAGCTTGGTGAACAAACCAGCCGGATTTGAGAGTAGAGATATAGCACTCTTGAGAGTCACAAAATATCTCAACGCTCTTTTGCTCGTAGCTAAAATCCTTCAATAATCCTTTATGCCACAATGCCTCCCGCTGTTTTTTCTTACCATGGTCTACATATGTATCAGTTCATATGCTAAATCTCACAGCTCCGGATCTCAGTTGCAATATCTAAAATTTTCAAAACCAATCAGACCCCTACGCCTAATCTTTTCAAAACGTTTCGCAATATCTAATTTTTTTTGTTAGATTAAAAATAGATGATATTTTTTTTTTGTTAGATTAAAAATAGATGAAATTTTAGTTACATTTTCAAATATTTAACAAAAAAAAACAACACGAACCCGAGCATGGGGTTAAGATTTGCGTTTTGCTAAACGGATTAGCGTTAGCGTTTGTACAAAAAAAAAAAAAAAAAAACAACAGCTGGCAAAAAAAAAAGAAAAATCAAAACCGGCGAGACGGAAAATTTCAGCGTTTCCGAACTTTCCATTAGAGTCGCGAGACGAGAGACGAGACTTGTTCCAGAGATTTAATCGTTGTTTCTCTTCCCAGCTGATCTGCGTTCAACACCACTGTTTCCAGGATCTTCAGAATCAGCGAAGGAAGAAGATAAGAGAACGACGAAGTAATTGAAGTTGAAGAATCGCAAATTTGGCTCTCGATATTTGCTCAATGACTTCTTGGTTGCCTTCATTTGTCCTCTACGTTTCTGTTTCCAGATCTCTTGATTCTCCTCTGCGTTATCCTGATTGTATGAATAACTTTGCAGAGATAACCTTCAATTTAGGATCGGAGTTCTTAAATAAGGTGATTTAGCGAAGATGATGGTCGAAGATCTTGGTGTGGAAGCGAAGGAAGCGGCTGTGCGAGAGGTGGCGAAGCTCTTACCATTACCTGAACTTTTGCAATCTATTTCTTCAATCAAGGCCGATTACATCGCTCGTCAACAGGTTTGTCGTTCCTTGCCTTCAATTTGGAATCGGAACTGAATTGGCTTTAGAAATATCGCTTGCACTGAGTATTAGTTGTTCCTCAGCAATGCTGGATTTGAATTGTTAGGTTTTGATATGTTATCGTTATCTTTTATTTTCGGTTTTTCGGAAATTTGTAATGACCTTACTAGTGATGCTTGCTGTTTCAATCAGGCGAATGATGCACAGCTCAGTACCATGGTTGCTGAGCAGGTATATATTTAATCTGGCCTTCTTTGTGTTCTCATTTTATTTCGATTTGTTTGGGTTAGATAGTAATTGCTGACAAACTGCAGGTTGAACAAGCACAAGCTGGGTTAGAGTCGCTTTCTTCATCTGAGAAAACCATTTATGAACTGCGGGATAATTTCATTTCCATCGATAAGTATGTTTTTGCTTGACTAGAGATTCTTGAAGCTGAGTTACCAACTTTTGTATTTCTTTCCTTCTAACTTCACTTCTTGTGCCACAGGCTTTGTCAGGAATGTCAAACTTTGATTGACAATCATGACCAAATAAAGCTGCTGAGTAATGCCAGGAATAATCTAAACAAAACTCTAAAGGTAGATATGCCGATGAGCACTGATTGTATTGCTCAAACAGTTTTTGGTTCATTGTTGTCCGTCTAACTCTAGAACTCGAATTTAGCTCTGCTAGGTTGTCTCAGATGTTTAAATGCTTCCAAGTTTATGTCAACTTATTTTTACCACATTCTCTTGTTTTCTAGGATGTAGAAGGTATGATGTCAATTTCTGTTGAAGCTGCTGCGGCTCGGGAGTCTCTGAGTGATGATAAAGAAATTGTTAACACTTACGAGGTAGCATGAGTTCCTCTTCCCATGGATTCCAGGCATTTTTGACTGCATCACTTTTTGCAGAAAGGACGTCTGATGTAAGACATAATATTCTTTTTGTTCTTACATAGAGATTAACAGCACTTGATGGTAAACGAAGATTTGCGTTAGCAGCTGCTGGAGAGGAGGTTGGGAGGCTGAGGTTTGTATTTATTCCACTCGTTTCTTACTTTGCTTTTCGTACTTACATGAAGCGGGCTCGAAAGCTTTAATTCAAGAGTTACTGGTGTGCTGTGAAAGAAAATAGGTCTCTATGCTTAAGTAAATGAGCAGTACGAGGAGCTGTTGCTCTTTTGATAGTGCCTATGATGATTTGATCCCGCCTCTGGACTGTCATTTCTTTTTACATGATCATGCATACCAACTTCTGAAGAGTTATTTTGATGGGTTCAGGGAGTATTTTGAAGATGTTGATAGAACATGGGAAACATTCGAGAAGACACTATGGGGTCATGTTTCCAACTATTACAAACTTTCTAAAGAAAGGTATTTTGAGTAAATATATGGTTATGCTCAACTTCTCTGTCTAATTCCAATTTTTTATATTTGTACTGCCTTATTTTAGAATTATGATTCTTGCTGGTATTTTATAAGAGTGAGGCTAGGAAGTAGGAAGTTAGATCAAGGAAGAAAACAATGTCAAAAGATGAGAGGGAAATAGTTGGACTGTACCAGTTATTCGGTAGCTAGATATGAGCATTTATATGACAAGACATAGTTTATATTTCATGTTGTTAGCCAGACCTTGGGGCTTAAGTAAACGTTTAGAGTTTGCTCCATGTTGAAATAAGCTATTTTTTGTTGTTAAGCTGCTAAGATATCAAATCTTACATATCCTTTTGGTTTATCTTAAACTTACTGATGTATCTTTGTTCTGCAGTCCGCAAACGCTGGTTCGTGCTTTGAGGTATGATTCCCCACCAGAGACATTCTTCACCTTTGTCTATGGCATAGATTCCCAAAATTATTACTTTTCAGTAATTTTGTTGCAAACAGATCTATTTTAATTAGCAAGGAAGATAGTGTATACCCATTTTCTGGTGATTAGCATCAAGATCAGTTCAAATTGGTATGGTAGGATAGTGAAGTTATTGTGTTACTGTGAGTTGTGACAACCATTTTTAGACAAGCAAATTGTTTCTTTTTACTTACTTTAATGCTACATGCATTGCAATATCATGGATTTTATGTTGGCATTAGAAGTTTCTTAAACACAAAGTCTCCTATTCAGGGGGAAAGAAGTAGACTTCTTTTAAAGTGAACTGGTTACCTAAATCTGGTACTAACTTACAATGGTTTCTTCTATCAAAGGGTTGTTGAAATGCAAGAAATTCTTGACCAACAACTTGCTGAAGAAGCAGCAGAGGCTGAGGGAGAAGGTGCGATGGCATCTGTAGCAAATCCTCGAAGGCCTGGCAAGTGAGTCTGATATTTTTTGTTCGTATTCTTCTTGATTTGTTGTCTCAGCTGTTATTGAAAATACCTTTCACTTTCACTATGGGTTTGACTAAGCTATATTTTGCATTGATTTAATGTCCTGAAAAGCAATGGTATTTTATTGAAGTCCCCATAATCATTTGTGACATGTCCTATATTTATTCTGTTGAATCCAGGAAATCTACTACAACGTCAGCTTCATCAAAGGGTCTTGCTCAACAGAAGTTAAAAGTTCAAGGGAAAGGCTACAAGGACAAATGCTACGAGCAAATTCGAAAGGCAGTTGAAGATCGATTCAACAGGCTTCTGACGGTGGGACTTTCTTTTTGAAAATTTCATTTGGTGGCATAGCTAAAAGTAATATGTGCCTCTGTGTGGTCATCCTAACACTGAACTATTGACCAGCTTGTCTTTGAAGATCTAAAAGCAGCTTTGGAGGAAGCTAGAATGGTTTGTGCGACTGATTCCCTTGCTTTCATACACTTTTCTTCATTCTTCTTTTCTGCAGTTCATTGAAATTGTATTCAACTATCTGATATATTTTTGTTTTTCTTCTAGGCGTTTCAGTAGATCACCTTTAGTTGACTCAATCAGTTTTTTTTTTTGTTCATAATGGATATGGTTGATGATCTAGTATTTTACTGTTCTGTTGCTAAAGTTCCAAATTGACCTGACCATCTAATATTACTGTTCCTGTTCCATAAACGTTAATCAATTTTAACTCTTATATCTTCCACGGTTGTAATGATTGATGTCAACCTCGTTTACCTCTGTTATCTTTCACAAATATATATTTATTAACTGGGTTTTTCACTTTCTTTTTATGGTGTTCCACAACTAGATTGGAGAGGAACTTGGAGATATTTATGACTATGTGGCTCCTTGTTTTCCTCCGAGGTTTGTTCGTCTCTCGATTTCCTCTAGAACAATGGAAGATTACAAATTTATTCTGTTTCCCCGAGTGAAAAAGGGTTTTCTTAGCAATCTTCCTTGTTGGCAGATATGAGATATTTCAGCTTATGGTGAACCTGTATACCGAGAGATTCATACAAATGCTCAGATTGCTCAGTGACAGAGCAAACGATCTGACAAATATAGAGATTTTAAAGGTGTGTAGAGCTTAATTCTTAGTTCTGCCATGTTGTGTCGCAACTCAAAACTTTGCGGATACTGCTTTTGGTGCTTTGGCTCTGTGTTTTCTGACTGAATATCAAGGAAAATTTTAAGAGGGAAAAATATTATGTGACTGCCTTTGTTTTGCCTCATCAATATGCCTCATTCATTTTACCTTGTCTCTGTGCATTAGGTATCCTTTAGAGAGTGATGTATCTTTTCTCTCTTTTCGGTCTTGCTAGGTGACTGGTTGGGTGGTAGAGTACCAAGAAAACTTGATTGCACTTGGTGTTGATGATTCACTAGCTCAAGTGTGTTCTGAGAGTGGTTCAATGGATCCTCTAATGAATGCATATGTTGAAAGAATGCAAGCTACAACGAAGGTAATGACATGCACGTTTGACCTACTCTGCTAATTTTTATAATTCTTTTTGCTTAAACTTTTGTTGCCAACTCTTTGGTTACAGAAATGGTACATGAATATCCTTGAGGCGGATAAGGTGCAACCACCTAAAAAAACAGAGGAAGGAAAATTATATACACCGGCTGCTGTAGATTTATTCAGAATACTTGGAGAGCAAGTGCAAATTGTCAGAGATAACAGCACCGATGTTATGTTGTACAGGATTGCTTTAGCTATTATTCAGGCAAGTCAAAGAGGTTGCAAAGACATTTTGGTTTCCCCAATTTCTTTGTTCGGCTATGAACTGAAATAGGTCATAGTTGAAAATATTCCATTTCCCTACTCAGGCTATTTATTGACTGTACTCAGAAATTTCAAATCGTTCTTTGCTTTCTTCTAAGACTCGTGAATGTTAATGTTGGAGACTTTACCCATTCCCAGCTATGTTTCCCATTCCCAGCTATGTTTCCCATTCCTCACCCTATCGTTCAATTCCATTTACCCCGTTTTTCTCTTTTCTATTTTTTCCCTTTTCATTGTGTTTTAAGCTGATTGTAATTTTCCTGCAACAGTATAGTTTTGTAGCATAGTGCCTGTTCTATATTTTGATTCATATTGTGGATTACTTCAGGTTATGATTGATTTCCAAGCAGCTGAAAAGAAGAGAGTTGATGAACCTGCTTCTGATATTGGTCTGGAACCTCTATGCGCTATGGTATGTCAGAAGATATGAATCTCTTGATGTCACTATTACTTTTCTCCCTTTTTCAGACGAATATTTATATGTTAATATTGACTACAGATAAACAACAACCTTCGCTGCTATGACCTTGCCATGGAGTTGAGTAATAGCACTTTAGAAGCTCTTCCACAGAATTATGCGGAGCAGGTAATCCAGCTGCTAGTTTTGGAGCTCAATTTCCTTGCAATTGATTCTTTTGATTGGAAATGTCAAATCCACTGCATCATGCCCACTCTCAGTCCCACGATACTCCACGTCTATATCTACATGCACTCTTGTTTGCATGCTGATAAAATGCTTCTCTAATGTGGTGTTTCTGTCAGGTGAATTTTGAAGACACTTGCAAAGGTTTCTTGGAAGTGGCTAAGGTTCGTCAAAAATTCCTTTTTCTCCCCCGTCTTCAATCCAAATGTAGTTCTTGCATCTCGATTTATGGCCTTGTAGTTGCCCAGATGGCTGTTGACATGAAATTTCAACTTGATCTTGCGATCTTTAAAGTTCAAATTTATGTTGGATTTTACACAAGTCCTATCTGGTCTTTTGATTTCAGGAAGCAGTGCATCAAACAGTTCGCGTTATCTTTGAGGATCCAGGAGTTCAGGAATTACTTGTCAAGCTTTACCAGAAAGGTATTTATTAGCCTAGCTAATTTGTGAATAGAGGCAGTCGAGGCATTGTCACGTCCTTGATACTTTTGCTACTGGTTTCTCTTGATTTCTAATAGATATGGACTATTCTTATCTTTAGAACATAATCATTTAAGAGTCAAGTAACGCTCTTTCGTCCATCTTATTTCTACCCTTCCTTCTAAAACAGCACTTTGGACATTTTTATGATAAATTTACTTGATACGTGTTCTTGACTTGTTCATTCTATGGTTGTATTTAACCTACCTATTTACTTTATAGAATGGTGCGAGGGACAGGTTACCGAGTACCTCGTGGCAACTTTTGGTGATTATTTCACAGATGTGAAAATGTAAGTTTTTCTCGTCCCCTTTTGTTTAACAAGAGCTTAAAACGCCACAAGTCTGTTGAGGCTGTCGTGGTGAATGTTGGATGCAGGTATGTCGAAGAAAGATCATTTAGAAGATTTGTCGAAGCTTGTTTGGAAGAAACAGTCGTTGTTTATGTTGATCATCTCCTAACGCAGGTTTCCTCATTTATTCTCTAGTATTTTTACCTTTTATATTTCATCCGCATACACAAACACTGAACCTTTGGGTTGACGCGTGTAATTCCAGAAAAACTACATCAAGGAAGAAACTATTGAACGTATGAGGCTAGATGAAGAGGTTCTCATGGATTTCTTTAGGGAGTATATAAGTGCATCTGTAAGTTGGATTTCCGCACTTAACTCATATGTAACCTGAATAATTTTATATTTCATTTAAGTAGTGCTTAATATTTCCACTGGATTTGTGTTACAGAAAGTGGAGAGCAGAATCAGAATAATGAGCGATCTGAGAGAACTTGCATCTGCAGAGAGTCTAGATGCATTTACACTCGTGTACTCGAACATTCTTGAGCACCAGCCTGACTGCCCGGTAAATATAATCTAACCAAAGCCTGCTCTTGTTTTTTACAATATCAATATACACATAATCTCTAATATATGGTATGCAGGCCGAGGTCGTAGAGAAGCTTGTTAGTCTGCGTGAAGGCATACCACGGAAGGACACAAAAGAGGTAAACACACCAAACTCTCTTTTTAGGAAAACGCCGGGGTGACTTGAAATGGCACAAACCAGTAAGAGTTTGATTGAAAGCCAAGAATTCTGAAAATGCGAAATGCTTATGGTGATGAAAACAGGTGGTACAAGAGTGCAAAGAGATATATGAGAACACTCTGGTAGATGGTAATCCTCCAAAGACAGGATTTGTATTCCCGAGAGTCAAGTGCTTAGCTGCTTCCAAAGGATCTCTCTGGCGAAAACTCACTTAATCTGTAAAACAGCGTTCAGCGTTTGCGTCCGCCACTGCTTTTTTTTTTAATTTGGGATGTTCTTTCTCCATATTATGGCGTTTGCGTCCATGTCTTCTTCTTTTTTTGCATGGTATATTTCCTCTCTGTAAATTCTGTGTTTCTCTTATTTTGTTTTTGTTTTTTTACCTTTATTCCTGGATTTGAAAGTTGAAACGTTCGGTGGCCACTTGCACTAGGATATTATCCCGTTGCCTTGTATTTAGGAGGCATATTTTTTTGTCGCAAAATTTTAATCGATTTCTACTGTTTATAAAAATCTTCTTCAAGTGTGTTTCTCTTTCATAATATGGGGTCTCTTCTTGTTTTTAGAATTATCACTGGTTTGTGAAAATTTTGAATATGAAGCATCCTCATTGCATACCAGCTGATTTTAACCACTCACAATATCTCATAAATAAATAATTGTAAACATTATCTTGAAATATTTTCTGAAATGACTGTTTCTAGACACCTTTTGATCATAATGAAATAAAGAGTCCACCGCATCGCATGGGGTAAGCATAATGTGTGATATTTATAGGGTAACAAATGCAATCTGCTTTTTATTTTACTTTTTTACACTACTCATTGAATGGGCAAAGTATTGGAAGAAAAGTTTTGTTTTAAAAAATGAAAAGACAAGTTTCTGTTAAATTGTATTGTGATGAAACAGTAGTAAAGTCATATCGGGTACGCCATACTACTACCATAGTGGAACTTGGCCAAATTTTGTCTTTGCCGTCTCTCGCTACAGTTTCTTCCACCAGAATTTTTGACAAAACTCAAATCTTTCAATGTCATATCTGCTAAAGTTTAAGTTACGTTTTTAAATATACCAGCAAACACTAGTATTTACAATGTTGGGTTAACCTAATTTTGGTGACATAAAACGAGATTTCTTCATTTCAAGACCAAAAATAAAATAAAAGAAAAAACCATTGTAAATATGAAGTTAATTTCATACTTTTGGTACGAGAGATACCTCACATGACGGAGAGGAATTCACGAAAAAGTTTTTCCTCTTCTCTCTCGCTCTCCCTGTTCGCCCTAGCCGTCAAGGCCATCTTCTTCCTCGTTTGGCCGGCGATTGGTGGCTTCCTTAGCACTGTCGCCGGTCCCGTTCACCGTAGTTTCAGCTTCTTCTCTTTAGTTCATCTTTGTTGTTAGTTTTGCTTCTCAAACCCTAGTTTCGTCGTCTCCTCCCCTTGGCCTTTCCTCCTTTCTATGGTGGTTCCGATGTGGTGACTATCTTGGAGGATGGGTGGTGTATTGGTGATCTTCGTAGACGGATCTGTTCCCCGGTGGAACCGTCTCGTTTTCTCCGATCTGGTTATGGAGGTCTGTGTTTTCCGATCTGTTTCTAGTGTCTCAACATTCATTTCTGTTCTCGTTGGTTGGGGAATCGGGAGTTGATTTGTTGCATGTTCCGGCTGGTTCCGAGGTGGTTCTGAAGAGTTCTAGTCTTGGATTTTGTTGGCTTTGCGGTGGTGCTGTCTCTAGTTAGGCGTGTATTTAGCCGGCGTATCGTTTCCATGGCTTGGTTATGATCATCCCTTCGGTGCTGCAGCAACGGCCTCTTTGTTTGCGGATTCTTCCTCTGTTTGTGAGTTTGAGTGACTTCTAGGGTTTGTGTTTTGCTGTGTTTTTCGATTTGTTGTGATTTGAAGCCTTAGGTTCAGCTTTTGGGTTGGCTTGTTTGACTCCTTGCTCTGCCTCTCTCTCTGTCCTCCTCTTGGTTTTCGGTGTGGTGATTTGGCGATAGGTTCTGTTTTGTGGTTCTCCATTCGGATGCTAGCTTTCTACAATGGCATCTACTAGCTCTCTGTTGGAACCTTGTTTGGTTTCTCGGCTGAGTTCTGGACGTTGTGGTGAGTCGATCCCTTGTCCTTCTCTTTGCGTGGCGTAACCAGTCTTTAGTCTGTAGGTGGCTTTGGCTGGGTCTACGAAGGTCCGTGTGTAAGGATGGGTGGTCCTATTTGGCGTTTCCCCTCTCGGATCTCAAGGTTTTCCTTGATCCTCCGCTTTCTCATTCTCATTGGCTCTATAGTGGTGGTGGTGGTTAGGTTCTGTGTTCTGATCTTCTTGCTTCGTCGTCTTCGTTTCTGCTGTGGAGATGGTTGTGTGAGCTCGATTTAGTTTCCTTCTCGAGGCTCTTGTCTGTTGCCTCTCCATGGCGCTAAAATGTTCTATGGAAGTGTTAGTCGACTGCTTGTAGAGATGAGTTGTCAGTGTTGTGGCTTTGGAGGCTTTAGCTGCTATTCCTTTAGTTGTAATCTTTGTATCGTAAGGCTTGATATGTTTGTCTGCCTCTTTTGGCCTTATGTCTCTGGGGGTTTCTTTGTACCCGCCGGCTTTGTCTCCGAAAGGTTTTCGTTCCTTGTCGGCTTTGTATAACTTAAAATCGCATTCTATCAATGAAATCCTTTAGACGAAAAAAAAAAAAAAAGATACCTCACATGATTATGAGTTTTTAACTTTTCTTTCATAAATATGGGATTACGAATCTTACTTGCATTAATATTTTAGAATAAGGTTTTTCCAAATTAAGAAAAAGGGACCCAACCAAGAGAGAGGTTTGACCAGGAGAAACGGGTGCGTAGCCTTAAGAGCTTTCAACTACTTTACCCCAAACCCAAAGTGATGTCACTTTCAACCATCTTCTCTCTCGCGCGAACCCGTTTTTTTGACCGGTCAGTTCGGGCAGCACCACCGTTACGGGCAGCTAATATTCCTCGTCTTCCTCCTTACACTGCATGCCCCCATAAATAAAAGCCTGTTGAGATCTTTAAAATTAAAATATTAACGAAACTATTTTATTTATGCGAACGTTATATTTATAAGAATAAAGAAGAAAAAGAGAGAGGACGAACAAACACTAATCATAGTTTCTCTGGCAGGCTTGTTGTTGCGGCTTAATAAAAATTTCTTTTAAAAGCTCTTTGTTATTATTACTTCACGTAGATTTTCCCCAAAAAGCTCCATTTTTTTTTTATAATTATTTCTTTTTTTAATTCAACTTTTGTTTTACAGTGTGTGTGTGTGAGGGAGAGAGAGAGAGTGTGATTGAGAAAAGACGACGACGAGAACGCCGGAGAATTAGGATTTTGATTTTCACTCAGTGTTTGTTTTACTGCTAATGGGTTTTAAAGGGTTATCGAAAAAATGAGGGATTTTTTTTGTGTTGAGGTTAATGGTGGTGATTTTCGAAGGTTAGGGTTTTCTCGGATCTGAAGAGATCAAATCAAGATTCGAAATTTAGCATTGTTCTTCGAAATGGAGATGACTTATGTGGTGTTTGTCTTAGTTTCGTTGATCTTACTTTCGAATCATTCACTGTGGCTTGCTTCTGCTAATTTGGAAGGTTTGTGGTTGGTTTACTCATTGCTCAGCTTTACTTGTTTCTCAATTACTTTCTCGATCTTTTTGTTATTTGGAGGTGAATCGCTATTTTAGTGTCTGCATTTTGATTTTTTTTAATGATTTTGTGTTTGGTTCTTTGTATGTTCTGAAATTTCTCTTCATTGTTTTCTATTGTGTGAAGGAGATGTTGTTGTTTTAGATTTAGTGTCTACTACTGTGAATACACTGTTTTGCTTTTCTTGTTCAGATCACTATACCAAGTTTCTTCTTTTTTCATATCAGCTTTAAAAATTGAAAAGGCTTGTTCTTTTGGTTGAAAAGCTGGGTTTTTGATCTCTCTTAGTCGTGTCTGTATCAGCTTGAAGTTTATATTGTTGTGGTGGGTCTTGAAACTTTCTACATCTTAAGATTGATGTTGTTGATCTAAACATTCTCTGGAAGACCATTTATTTTTAATTAGTCTCCAATTTCAGAGAGACCTGTTTGGTTGTTCTTTTGGAAATTAGACATTTTGATGCTAATTGTGTAGATTTGTGGTTCTTGTTACAGGTGATGCTTTGCATACTTTGAGGGTCACTCTAGTTGATCCGAACAATGTCTTGCAGAGCTGGGATCCTACGCTTGTGAATCCTTGTACATGGTTCCATGTCACTTGCAACAACGAGAACAGTGTCATTAGAGTGTAAAGCTTTCTACTAATCCCTCTTTTAAAACTTTGAACCTCAGTGTGGTTTCCGACATTTTTGCTTCTTTCGTCGACTACAGTGATTTAGGAAATGCAGAGTTGTCTGGCCATTTAGTTCCGGAGCTTGGTGTGCTCAAGAATTTGCAGTACTTGTAAGTTGCACTTACGCATCATGCTTTAACAAAACAAATCCAAGATTGATATAAGATACACTGGAGATACCTTTTGTAATTTCTTTTCTTATATTTTACAGGGAGCTTTACAGTAACAATATAACTGGCCCAATTCCTAGTAATCTTGGAAATCTGACAAACTTAGTGAGCTTGGATCTCTACTTAAACAGCTTCACTGGTCCTATCCCTGAATCATTGGGAAAGCTTTCAAAGCTGAGGTTTCTGTGAGTATATTTTTGCTTTACCGGTCAGTTACAGTCTTGTTTAATCTTCAGTGCTGTTCAAATATTTGACTCTTTGCTGAAAATTTTACATGCAAGAATAGCCGGCTTAACAACAACAGTCTCACTGGGTCAATTCCCATGGCACTGACCAATATCACTACCCTTCAAGTGTTGTGAGTTCTCTCATCAACTTTCATTTATGTCTGCTTCATTCTCTCTCAATTGATTTGTTTGAGTTAATGCACTTAACCTTGATGGATGCAACACAGAGATCTATCAAATAACCGACTCTCTGGTTCAGTTCCTGACAATGGCTCCTTCTCACTCTTCACACCCATCAGGTTATGTTATTTATCCTTTTCAGTTATTTCAGTTGTTGTGTGTCTGAATTTATTCTGAAATTCCCATTTCCTTGTGCAGTTTTGCTAATAACTTAGACCTATGTGGACCTGTTACAAGTCACCCATGTCCTGGATCTCCCCCGTTTTCTCCTCCACCACCTTTTATTCCACCTCCACCAGTTTCCACCCCGAGTAAGCCGCCTCTTTTCAGTTTACATTATAGGAAACAGAAGATGAAATCTTTGCTTCTCTGTCAATCCATTTTCTACCCATCTTGCCACAATATAAATTGATATAGTTTTGTGTCTAATTTTATTTCAGGTGGATATGGTATAACTGGAGCAATAGCTGGTGGAGTTGCTGCAGGTGCTGCTTTGCTGTTTGCTGCTCCTGCAATAGCCTTTGCTTGGTGGCGGCGAAGAAAGCCACTAGATATTTTCTTCGATGTGCCTGGTAAGTTTATTGTTCGCATTAGTTTCTGTTCATTATTCGATTTGAACAATTCTTAGCCAGCAATTTGCTTTAGCATTAAGTATTGGAACAACTGTTAATGAAAAATTGAAAATCAATCGAGAAGCAATTGTTTTTTGAGCTACAAAATCTTTTGAGTAAAATCTTAACTGCAAAATCTCTATGCAGCCGAAGAAGATCCAGAGGTTCACCTGGGACAGCTCAAGAGGTTTTCTTTACGGGAGCTACAAGTGGCGAGTGATGGATTTAGTAACAAGAATATTTTGGGTAGAGGCGGGTTCGGGAAAGTCTACAAGGGACGTTTGGCAGACGGAACCCTTGTTGCTGTCAAGAGACTGAAGGAAGAGCGAACTCCAGGTGGAGAGCTCCAGTTTCAGACAGAAGTAGAGATGATAAGTATGGCAGTTCATCGAAACCTGTTGAGATTACGAGGATTCTGTATGACACCGACCGAGAGATTGCTCGTGTATCCTTACATGGCCAACGGAAGCGTTGCGTCGTGTCTCAGAGGTAAAATTTAAACATTCTGTGCGCTCTCTCAATTGGTTCCATCTTCAAAGAGAAGCTTTTTTCATGTTCTTTTTTATGGATATTCATAATTTTGGTTACACAAATGACAGAGAGGCCACCGTCACAGCCTCCGCTCGATTGGCCAACGCGGAAGAGAATCGCGCTAGGCTCAGCTCGTGGTTTGTCTTACCTACACGATCACTGCGATCCGAAGATCATTCACCGTGACGTAAAAGCAGCAAACATCCTCTTAGACGAAGAATTCGAAGCGGTTGTTGGAGATTTCGGGTTGGCGAAGCTAATGGACTACAAAGACACTCACGTGACAACAGCCGTCCGTGGCACAATCGGTCACATCGCTCCAGAATATCTCTCAACCGGAAAATCTTCAGAGAAAACCGACGTATTCGGATACGGAATCATGCTTCTAGAACTAATCACAGGACAAAGAGCTTTCGATCTCGCTCGGCTAGCTAACGACGACGACGTCATGTTGCTTGACTGGGTAATAATAATAACATAAAACTTCCCATTTGATCCCAACAAAAATCATTGAAATGAGAATCTAATCTCTCTGAATAATAATAATAAATACTTGTTTGTTGTTTTAGGTGAAAGGATTGTTGAAAGAGAAGAAGCTAGAGATGTTAGTAGATCCAGATCTTCAGACAAACTACGAGGAGAGAGAACTGGAACAAGTGATACAAGTGGCGTTGCTTTGCACGCAAGGATCACCAATGGAGAGACCAAAGATGTCTGAAGTTGTAAGGATGCTTGAAGGAGATGGGCTTGCGGAGAGATGGGACGAATGGCAAAAAGTTGAGATATTGAGGGAAGAGATTGATTTGAGTCCTAATCCTAACTCTGATTGGATTCTTGATTCTACTTACAATTTGCACGCTGTTGAGTTATCTGGTCCAAGGTAAAAAAACACAAACATAACTTGAAAATCATAATATTTACAACGTAGGTAGTTTTTTTACCCGTAAGTTTTTGTTCTTTTTTTTATTTGTATGAAAATGAATCTAGCAATCGAAGATTTGTGATGTTGTGAAATGAAATGGTTCGATAAAAGAAAAAAAAAATTGTAGTCTAAAGATTTGTGTAAGATTATTTTTGTCTAATTTATGTTATGATGAACTAAGAACAATGTATAAATCCAAAATTTCGATAAAACGACGGGTTTATGAGCTATTCACACGACGTCGTTTCACTTTTGTGCTTAGAAACGACGTCGTTTAACCGAAAAAACATTGAAAGGGTTTTTGTTTGGGAAAAAAGAAAGAGAAGAAGGGTTTTTGTACTTTGTTCCATCATCGACTCATCGTGACACGTCACACCTTCATCTCCGCCGTCCTCATTTTCTTCTTGGTCGCGGCTGAAAAAAATATTGTGGTGAGAAGAAGAAGAAGAAGATGAGTAATAATAATAATACAGAGATGAATAATCTAGCGATGGAAGAAGAGGATGAAGGAGAGATTTTTCTTGGTGAATCCGATGTCCTCCGTGAAATCGATGTCGACGAAGAAGGTTTTTTTTTTAATTCTTCAATCCTAGTCTTTTATCGTATGTATGTATGTATCTATGTGTATATGACTCTTCTATTACGGATTCAGATCTTCCTGAAGCAGATGATGATGATATGGACGATGATGCTGAAGAATTTGGTAAAACAATTTACCACCTCTTGTGTTTCCTCAATATGAAATTTTTGCTTCTTAATTGTACCAAATCTTAATTTCAGATGAAAACGATGACTCTGTTCACACATTCACTGGTCACAAAGGTAAAGTTTTTATCATTCTATTTATCACTCAAAATGTGTTTGTAACTTTCATGAAACTAAATTACGTTTTTTCTTGTTGCTTTAACAGGTGAGCTTTATGCATTGGCTTGTAGCCCAACAGATGCTACGCTTGTTGCAACTGGAGGTGGAGATGATAAAGCCTTTCTCTGGAAAATTGGTAATGGAGATTGGGCTGCTGAGCTTCCTGGTCACAAGGACTCTGTTTCTTGTTTAGCTTTTAGCTTTGATGGACAGTTACTTGCATCTGGTGGATTAGATGGTGTTGTTCAGATCTTTGATGCATCATCAGGGAATTTGAAATGTGTTTTCGATGGTCCTGGTGCTGGAATCGAGGTAGAAATTTACTTGTGCTTGAAACTGTAAGAGTTGTGCCAAATTTATGAGTTCAAATTTAGTACTTACTGTTTGGTTTTTACAGTGGGTGAGATGGCATCCGAGAGGACACATTGTGTTGGCTGGATCAGAAGATTGTTCTCTATGGATGTGGAATGCTGATAAAGAAGCTTATCTTAATATGTTTTCAGGCCATAATCTAAATGTCACTTGCGGTGACTTTACCCCTGACGGTATTTATATAAGCTTCTATCTAAATTGCTTTCTGGATTGTCTAATTGATTCTACCTGTATTTATTGTATTGTTTGCCTGTGTGTGGATACTGTAGGTAAACTAATTTGTACTGGCTCTGATGATGCAAGTTTGATAGTGTGGAACCCAAAAACTTGTGAAAGCATTCATGTTGTTAAAGGCAAGCGAAACTTAAACGTGTTACTACTGTACAAGTACACTAAATCTTTCGCCTTTTATGACTCGTGTGAAATGCTAACCTCTGGTTTTGTGTAGGTCATCCTTATCATACGGAAGGGTTGACATGCTTAGATATTAACTCGAACTCAAGTCTCGCTATCAGTGGCTCGAAAGACGGTTCTGTTCACATTGTGAATATAGTCACCGGAAAGGTTTGCCCTTTACTGTACTGTTGTTACCAAGCTTTCACACGATTGGTTTATGATCTATATTATTTCAATAAGCACTGCTTATTTCGGACCTGTTTTTTTCTTGAAAATTTTCTATTTACATTGTCTTTGATCATCTACCATATTCTTGGATGAAAGGGTGTTTCTCATATTTATTTGACATATCAACTAACTTGTGAATAATCATACCAACAGGTTGTGAGCTCTTTGACTTCTCATACAGATTCAGTTGAGTGTGTGAAGTTTTCACCAAGCTCTGCAACCATCCCGTTGGCTGCAACAGGTGGAATGGACAAGAAGCTTATAATCTGGGATCTGCAGCATTCCACTCCCAGATTCATCTGCGACCATGCGGTATAAACCTTGTAGTTTCTCTGAGATAGAATCAAAACAGAGATTGAAACTAAAACAAGAACTCCTTTTTTTTCCATTACAGGAAGGTGTGACATCCCTGACTTGGATAGGAACCTCCAAGTACTTAGCCACTGGCTGCGCCGATGGTACAGTGAGCGTTTGGGACAGCTTATTAGGCAACTGCATCCATACCTACCATGGTCACCAAGATGCGGTCCAGGCCATCTCAGTCTCTACCAACGCGGACTTCATTGTTTCAGTCTCTGTTGATAACACTGCTCGAGTCTATGAGACATCCGAGTTCCAAAACAAAGTGGCATAGGCAAGTGAGAAGAATACTTACAGATACTGTCTAGACATGTATTGCTATCTGTGTTCGTTGTTTTGTTCTTCTTAATTCTATGCTTTGCGAGGAAATTTTGTGTCAAAAAAGTTATCTCTGTCTAAATTCGATATGTACACGGCATAGGTTATTGAATATTGATAAGTGAAGTCTTTATTTGGAATGTGTCTCCTTCATTTTACAATTCTTATGGTTCAAATGAGATTGATAAGTGTTACTCATTACATCGATATTAATGAACGAGATTCAGTATTTGCTAATATTCCACACTAGCAATTCAACTAGTTGATATCCCGAGTCTGCCAAATCACCTGGAAAGTCAGATTTAAGGTCTGAGCATAACTACGGAATATAACTCTTTATAAAAACTCGATTGTTCTCCCCTGAGAAGTAAGAATGAAACGGACAAGCTATAGAGTGAGATTACTACACAGGAGAAGAAACGAACCCGCTGAAAATGCAGCCACCAGTAAAGATGGATTGTCTTTAATACATCCGACTCCTCTTCTTCTCGGTCTTTAAACTGATCTTGTTCCGCCTCGATTGTGGCTTATCTCTTGAACCCGAGTTTCCAAAACTCCTTCTACCTGCTCTTGGACTTGAATTTCTACGACGACGGTTCAGACTCTGGTTTTGATCCACTTCATCATCGTCCTCGTCATCATCAACAAAGTCTCCTTGATGATCATTTTCGACATCAGAACCAGAAATGTCATCATTCCCAGCCTTTGCATCAGTATCACAAACTTCGCCTTCCACTTTATCATTCTCAGCCTTTGCATTAGTATCACAAACTGCGCCTTCCACTTTCCCCTTATCTTCTCTCTTGCTGCTAGAAGGAACTGCCTTATTTTCTTTCTTAACTGTATTCATGAGTTTCATGTAACGGTTCCTGCTTGTCACCAATTCATTGTTCTCTATCAACATCCCCCGTTTGTAACCATCTCTAAGAACCACAGTGTGAGTCCTAAGCTTACTTGACAAGTAAAAGATACCGGGATGGTTATGGAGAACTCTCTTAAACCTCGACCTCAATCCCATAAACTCACCAAGATGCAAAATGGCATCTTTCTCAACCTTCTTCGACACAAAAAGGTTCATGATTTCGTGCAAAACAGCAGCCGCCCACTTATCAGACTCATCGCTAGTCGCCGACAGATGGAGTGCATTTTCATAAGGAGAAATATACGGCAGTTTCTGCCAATCATCAATCCATTTCTTCATCTTCTTATCAACCACAAAACCATTTGAAAACTTCATCGGAAAAGCAATCGCGGATCCTTTCGTATACTCTCCTTTACCAATTGTTCTAGCTTTCTTCTCCAACACAGACACAGCATGATCATTGCTCCAACAAACCAGCTCTAATTCGCCACTACATCCTCGTAACTTCGATTTGATTACTCTAAAATAATCAGGAAACTCAGGTACCATAGTTTCAACATAATCCTGAGGTAAACCTAAATCCCATTTCAACAAATCGAGAATCTCCAAAGGAATTTTATTAATCCTATTAATCATCAGCAATTTCAAAAGCCTATCAGCTAATCCTTGCTTATAAGACTCACTACCATAAACCAATTGCTCATCGGCGTCGAGGTTTAGAATCTCCGGCGTGAGACTGATGTGAGGATGAATACCAATTCCTCCGGGGAGAAACTCTTGGAAAACGGAAGGGAAGCTTCTGATGAACTCGATTGGACGGAGAGGAACTCGTAGTGAATCTTTCTTAGTGGTGATAACTGAGATCGGAACTGATTTTGCAGGCTCCGATCTGATAAGGTCCTTGATGCTGAGAAGTGGTCTGAGATTCTTCTCTCTTTCTACAGCGTGGTCGAGACCTCTGTCTCTTACGAATTTGTAGACATCTTCCACCGCCGTATCGGAGAAGGTTCGGTGGCCGGAATGACGGCGGATGGAAATGGTACGGAAACTGGATTTCATCGGCTATTTGGTTTTTTTAGGGTTTTGGTATGAGAAAGGGGAAAATCTGATGAAGAGGTTTTAAGAGGGTTTTGGCTCATCAATGGTGTTTCAATGACATTCATGTGGAGCAGTGTGTTCACTCAAGTGAAGAGTTTTTAATTTTTATTATTGATTATGGGCTTTTATGTTGGGCTTTTCAGGCCCACTATTGTTTTATTCTGTGACGTTGCCCATCTAGGAAAAATCTATTGTAGTTTTAGGAAATTATGATCATTTTTGAAAATGTTATTCCGACAGAAAATAAAATAGAAGAGCAGGTTCCTTTTCTTCAAAGCTTGCTAAAACTTGATAAACTACCAATGAAAATCATAATAACTAAGGGAGTGTTATTGGTTTGTGATTTAAATAATATTTTAATGATTTTAAATGTTATGTAGAATCTGTTATTATTCAATCAAATTTTTTATTAAACTCTTTTAAAGTTTGATGTTATTAGTATTTGATTTGTAAAAATCTTTAAAAAAATTCATAAATCTAGAGTTATTGGATTCAGAATGTTATAAAGTTTCTTTAAACTTTTATTGATTTTATAAAATTATGAATCTAATAACTCTAGATTTATGAAGATTTTAGAAAAAAAAATTACAAATCAAAAACAAATAACACTAAATTTTAATAAAATTTTGATTGAATAACAACCGATTTTACCTAACATTTAAAGTCATTAAAACATGATGTAAATCACAACCCAATAATAGCCCTTAGATTCTTTAATTTATTTACTATATATTTTTATTAAATTTCTATGATTTTATTAAAGTAATCAACATATTATTTAAATCACAAACTAATATAGTTAAAACTATATAATATGGTCATCAACTTTAATAATTGGTTACAAAATAAAAATAACAAAACATTGAAATTGTCGCATAATCCACTAATCACAAAACTTTACCCTTTCTTCTCGGAGAGCGGAGCCAATCGAAACTTCAATTAACCAGAAAGGTCCGATTCTCACTCCGCCTCACACGACGGGCAACTTCAGTTCCTGCCGTCGCGTTAGATCCCACCGGAAACCAGTCATGGCGACGGGGACAACTCCTTCTGCCGCTAATCTTTTCACCAACTCGACGCGTTTCGAGTTCTCATCCGCTGATGCGCCTCCTTCAAAACTCTCTCTCTCCTCCGATCAGCTCAATCACTGCCTCCAAGCTCTCGGCGTTTTCCGGGGAAAGATCCAAGATCCTGACTCGATCGCTCAAGAGTTTGCCGGTTTACAGGTTATAGATCCATCCTCTTAAATTGAGAATTTTCCTCTTCCTAGTGTTTCTTCCTTAAAACCTAATTGGATCATAATAAACTCTCCTCGAACGCAGGCTAATAGGATGTGGCCATCGGAGATGCTGCTAAACAGTACAGTGGCTACGAACAGTGTCAATACTGAAAAAAACAGATACAGTGATGTTGTTCCATGTATTGTTCCTCTCTTTTTTTGTGGATTTGCTAGTTAGTTGTGTACAGTTCTAAATTTTGATTTTGCTTTGGATATAGTTGACAAGAACAGGATTGTTCTGAATCCATGTAAAGACTATAGATCATCTGCAAAAGGATATGTGAATGCAAGCTTAATTAAGGTACACTTCTTATTAGTCTATCTACCTGTGTGTTTTTCTGAAGTTTTTATGGTTATTGATGGGTTATGTTATGTAGACGTCGGATTCTGAGAGTATTTCTCAGTTCATAGCTACGCAAGGTCCTTTACCACGTACGATGGAGGACTTCTGGGAGATGGTTATTCAGCAGCATTGCCCAATCATTGTCATGCTCACTCGATTGGTTGACAATAATCTGGTAAACCTCCTAGTCTTGCTTGTGTGTATGAGTCTTTTTCTTTCTGTTTCTTAATGAAATAGGAATATCACTATCGCTCTGTTTAACGATTGATGAACTCGTGCTTAAAAGTTTAGTTTGTAAGGAGGTTGCTAGTGACACATGATATTATTACTAATGTAATCTTCTCCTTGATCGCTGGTTAGTGTTACTTTCCCTGGCTGTAGTAATTTTATTTTGAGGTCAATCTATGAACCTATCTTAATGCTAAAGTCTCACCAACCCTCACTTAGTAATGGATAAGATTCACCCTTGGAAATAAGGAAGGACGTTCAGAGACATATGAGCTGATCATCAAGGCATCTATGACTATATTTGATTTAGACGATTGGATATTAACATGATCTGTTGTAAACATCCTAGTAGAAGTGAAGTTGTTGTGAGCATTTGTTTCTGATATTTGTTCATTATTTGCTAGCAAGTTTTGGATGTTCCATAAACAGTGATGACGATAGATAACTATCTCTCTGATGTTGATTAATGAACTTATCTGGTTTGTCTTTTCATGCTAACTTTATCTGGCTTCTTGTTACAGATGGTTAAATGCGGGGACTATTTTCAAGCCGAAGATGGACCTAGAGAATTTGGCAACATATCTGTTACGACAAAGTGGACAAAGTCTATTGACACTTCATTGATGTTACGGAATCTTGAGGTTAACTACAAGGAGGTGAGAATCTTGCATCAGTTTGCTTCTATTTATTTTTTACCGGATCAAGTTCTCTCGTTAAGGGTCCAGCATTATTCACTGTACGATATTGTGTTTCAGACAGAGAATCAGCCCATGTCCGTTTTGCATATTCAGTATCCAGAGTGGCCTGATCATGGAGTTCCCAGGGATACTGTGGCTGTCCGTGAAATTCTAAAAAGATTATATCAAGTACCGCCTAGTCTCGGCCCAATCATTGTGCATTGCAGGTACGATGCATGTCAATGAGTGTGTTTGTATGCAAGTGTTGTTCAACGTCTCCTGAGAATATTGTTTTGTATCTCTCAGTGCAGGTATAGGAAGAACCGGAACCTACTGTGCCATACATAACACAATCCAGAGAATTCTTGCTGGGGATATGTCTGCGTTGGATCTTGCTAAAACCGTGGCAACATTTCGAAGCCAACGCATTGGCATGGTTCAAACCATGGTAAATCTTTATAGCTAACAAATTGTATCTCACCACATTATTGTTCTGACTTGTTCAATTCCTTCCTCTTTCTTGAAGGATCAATACTTCTTTTGCTACACCGCTATTGTTGATGAATTAGAAGATCTAACCGCAGGGACAGATGCTGGAACGAGTTCTTAAAGGTACGCAATTTCAAGAAGCAAATCTGAGTGAACCCTATCTGTTATAAAATCTATGTCTCTTCTCTTGTCTATCTTTTGATCCAGCTGAAGGGTTCTTCTGCTTAGAGAGGAAAAAAAGCTTCTACGCAACTGTATCGTTTTCTTAATGTGTGATTCATGAAGAAACCGGCGTGGATAAATCTTTAGTGTTTCCTCTAAAATCAAAAGACTACAATTTCTGTAAATTTCCAGATGTGATAGGCTTTTAGTGTTACTTTTGTTGTGGAAATGCTTGATTAAAGAAGCAAATGAAAATTTGCCAATGCAAGATTCTTAAAAGACTATGAATCCGGTTTGATTTGATAATTAAAGAAGGGTTTAATGATTTTGTTGTGACCAGTGACCCCCAAGGGTTTATTGGTTTAGAAGATTTAACCGAGTTTCTCTCGTAAATTAGAAGCGGATAAAAATGGTGTAAAATGTGTCGAGTCATCGTCGCACGCGGGAAATATCGCTAGTGACGGCGCGTGTCGTCCACGCGCAGTAAACTTAGCTATAAACACCCAAATCGAGACGCGAGTCTCTCGCCTATGGCTTCTAGATCCTCGTGGTGATGATGGAGAATTCCTCGAATTCGAAATTCAAGTAAGCAATCATCGTCATCGTCATTCCTTCGGATACCCATACTCAATTCGAGAATCACCCAGAGGTAAAGTTTTGCTTGCTTCTCCAGATCTCAACTTCTATCTCTCTCTAGCGCGCAATTGGAATTGAAATTCTTGTGGATCTTTCCTTTGATTGCAAAAAATTCGTCACCAATTTGATGAATTTAGCGGAAATTAGGTTTGAATTTGTTGTAGTTGACTCTGAGCCCTAGCAGTGATGACTAAGAATCTAGTATAAGCTAGTGATGGGGCTTTTGTAGGGGTATTTGAAGAAATTCTGTGGATTGTGAAATGTGATGGAACCTTCCCTCAATTTGGCTTCCTTTTGCTGCCGAAAATGGATGAGTCTAGTCTATAGAGCTTTTGTTCTAGATGTTGAACACATGAGTCTGGTTCTGATTGATGGTTTAGAACCGTAGCTATGTTAGTCATGGTTGTTCAGGGCTCTGATCGGTCAGGTACAAAGTAATGAGCTTTGTCATGTTTTCTGTTTCTACTTATATAGTGGTTAGTGAAAAACATCCTCATGAAGAAAATTGTCATTATGTTATTGATACGGTGTCAGCCAAGAGTCCTCTTTGAAACGGTTCAGATTTTACTTGTTATGGGCTCTATTTCGTGAGTAAAGGATTTTGCTTTAGTGATTTTGGTGAATGCCTAGCTAAGTTCTTGTTCCACAGAAATGAAATCACTCGCAGCAGACGTAACCTTATGTTGCTGAAACCTTTTGTCTTTTGGCAAAATGCAGGAGTTGTATAGACCAAGTGTACTTGTGACTAAAAACCCGCATACAAGATACTCACCGAGGCAAAAAAATGAGTTTTGCATGCCTCGTGTGCCATAGTGTAGAGAGCCCATCCCACTCATTTAGAAGCTACTCTGTTTCTAGCTCAGACAACGAGGGAAGATGCTCCGTGATTGCGAGCTGCCTCACAAGGAAATCACTCATTCAAGCTGCAAGATCTAACGCTTTCCCTGCATCATCCTCTAAGGTAACCCCACAGCCCAATTTCCAAGCAGGTGAAGGAGCCTCACCACGGTTAGTACGAAGCCGTGCAGTGAGAAGAGACATTGTCAGAGACTGGAACTTCAACGAAATCGAGACAGAGCTTTAAATCAGATCTGACTCTTCTCTTAGGAATAGTGTTAGTTTGTTCATCAACTGTTCTTGTTTCTTACCTCGTGTTCAAAGTTTTGTATTTGGCTTAGAATGCTTTTACAAACAAATAATCTAATATTTCCCTGGCCGTTTATTCAATTGCGGTATTACAAATCAACACCACACGCTAAGGTGAGAGTCAATAAACTTTGGAAAAGCAACAACAACAGATCATTGAAAACGTTAAGGAAGAAGTGGTCACCGTTAAGGAAGAAGTGGTCACGTGAGATGAGGAAGGGTTAGGTGAGGGTAGGCACGTGATAGTATTTGCCTTTGCACAAGCACTTGTAGACGAGAGGGCAGGCCTCGGAGGCTGAACACTTGGAACTGATCACGACAAGCTTGCACGGTTTACATGGTCCACACGCGTTCGAGCAGTCAGGTATGCTTGATCCGCTCGCCACATCTACAACCTCGCAAGTCACAATACAACAAATTAATAAACCAACCAAGTTAACATTCATTGTCTCTAATTTATGAACCATGTTATAGCCAAATAATACTTACAGTGAAAGAGATCCAATTGGAAACTATTAGTACTAACAAAGAGATGGAGAAGAAGAATCGCGAATAAAGATATCGATTTCATTGGGAAAAGATTGAAGGTGTTACTTATATCTTAGGTTTTCATATATAGAAAGTGTTTTGAGCAAAAGAAAATATGGTGACGAGATATATAGGAGAGTGAGGGTTAAAATTGAAAGGGATTTTAAATGAAACAGTGTTGGATTCACATGATACCTCCTCTATATTTCAAAGGCTTTCACATTCTTTGATCCTTTCTCATTAATTTTGAATATTTCTTACTATTTGGTTTTATCTCTTTGGCAAACTGATAGGCACAAGAATGTGCCATATAAAACCCTCTTCTAAAGGTACATTGAAGTAACAAATCTCAGATGTCTCGTCATCATCAAGTCCTACATGCCATGCCATCAAGCGTGACCCTTTGAGACCTTGCTTTTAATGAAGTCCCCACTTCACTCTCATTTACTCCATTCCTTTCATAAACATTTTGATCATTAAAAAAAAAAATTATTAATAATCTACAAACAGATTAAAAACCAGTCAAATTTTGTTTGTTTCATTTTAAACTCAGTTTTGTCAGTTTTAGGTAAAAAGGTTGATTGGGTATGTTGGTAAAATTTACCTTAAAATTCTAATACAAGGTTTTTTCAGAACAAAGTTATAATGAGATGTGTAACAGAACATAATCACATATAGAGAAGAACTGATAGAGTTATCTCTCTTTTTTAGAGTGACCATAATATCAAATTTAAACACTAATCTCTGAGATATTACTATTTTTTGTCATTGCGTTAACAGATTTTATCTGAACTGGATAAGGTATGAATCTAATTGGTCCGTGTGACACAATTCTCTAATTCCATAGTAGACTTGAGACTTGAAGTGCCCGACAAAAAAAAGGAGTCCTTTGTATGGGATAATCTGGCAAAGGCATGTCCAAAAGTTTTTGGGGAACATATGTGACTGTGTCGGGCTTTAAATCATTATGGTTTTCAATGAAAATAAAAATGTACTCTACACTATGTACCCTTTCCTCATCATCTTTTTTGACCCAACTTAATACACAAATAAGATTGGGAAGATTTATCAAAATTACTTGTTTATTATGAAAACCACATTTGAAAGGGGAATAAAAGGGCTATATGCATGCGTTCAATTGTGTTTGGCTTAATATGGTCAAAAAAGTTCTCTTACAAGCTTTTATTATAGTCCTCTTTTTCACCATTTCTAGCAAAAAGCCATATCCAATAATTTAACTATATTTAATCTTATTTTCAACGTCTAAAAATGATTGAGCTTCCAAAGTTTCTTTCAATTAGCAAAACTCACTAAGAAATAACCGAAACGGATACAAACAAAACATTGAACAAACGAGGTCAACACTCATCACTAGTGAAGACAAAACCTAAAATACCCCTTCACATAACAAGAATAAGTCGTCTCTCAAGTTTTGACCCCACAATTATCCAATTTGATTACAAAACATCATCCAACTTCTCATCATTCCCATTACGATCATCCAACAACAACAATGACGACTCTTCATCTTTTCCAACTTTCCTCATCTCCAAACTCGTCAGTCTCATTGCCCTCACTGCTTCCCCTTCCCAATCAGTCCTCGCCAAAACCGCATACAATATCGAAACCACGCAAGCCGCTTGAGCCGAAAGCAATCCAAACCACAACCCACTAAACCCAATTTTCAACCAAAACGCTAGTCCAACCGCCACGGGAGTCCCAACGAAATAAAATGACCCAAGATTCACATGTGCCCCAACCGCAGGCCGACCTGTCCCTCTAAGAATCCCGCAGCCCGTGGTTTGCGGGCAATTCCCTAGCTCGCATAGCCCGACGATTGGCATAACCGAAGCAACCAAAACCTTGAGTGGCTCGTAGCCAGTGAATAGTCCAGCCCAACGCTCTTTTAAAACAACGGTCCAAGCCACATTCAATGCTCCTACTACAAACGCGCAAGCTAGAGCCACGTTCGCGGCTAGTCTCGCCTTGTACGGTCTACCTGCACCGAGCTCGTTTCCAACCTGAGAAAATTAATGAAACCAAATCATAAAAAAAGTTATTGAAGCCAAACTTTTGTCACATGTAAAGGAAACAGAAAAGGACAAGTGGTTTTCGATGAGGTTGAAGAGTATCATGAGATTGGCAACAATAAAATAGACCACACTTGACTACTCTCTTTTCAACCACTTTTTTTATTTTTTTTATTTGTAGGTATGTTAACGTCCAATCACATACCACGGAGTGACCTATTAATGGAAGTTGATGTAATATTTTCCCATTACATTGCACGTTTTTTATCCTCTCTTTTTCTTCTTTTTCGAAAAGCTTTAAGAAACTTAAAAAGAACAAAAAAAATCAAAGAGCCTTCTAAATTTCTAATAACCTCGTTACAAGAACAAAATTTAAATCTTCCTCGAACAAAATAAACACTAAACAGAGAACCTTCTAAACATATAATAAGGTCCTCGAAAAACACATAAACTTTATTAGGAAAAAAAGAAAGTTAATGTCAATTACAAGAACAAAGTTCATAAATCTTTCTTGAATAAAACGTTCTTGCCACTGGTAAAATGTTTTCGAACCTTCAAGTTCCAAGACTTTTGTCTTTTTGTCTTAATTTAATCTAATGACTCCCACGTTCTCCAGTATCAATCATAGGCACCACACATTTATTTTTTTGAAAGAAAAAAACGCAGAGACTCTTGTTGACTTAAAACGATCCATCCACAATTTGATTTTGAACATTCAAATGCAAACCCAAATCAACTTAGTCAATAGTTTTAAGACTCAAATCTAGACCACTTCATCACTAATCACTAGTCTAATCTTGACTCAAATCAACTTAGTCACTAGTTTTGACTCAAATTTTGACTAAAATTTTGACCATTAACATAACAGAGCAGAGAAACATACCCGAGCAGAGACGCATCCAGCTAAAGCCATAGGAACAGTATACATAAGACTCGTAGTCTGAATCAAAATCCCAGTGGCAGCCACCGCAAGTTTAGGATTCTCCAAGTAACCACCCATCACAATCACAATCTCATACCACCACCACTCCAAACATATCCCCAAACAACTAGGAACCGCCACTCTCATCAACGGTCCCAACCCTCCAAACAACTCCAACACAGACGACGACTGAGCCACCGCCACCACCGTAGAACCACCACCACCACTCACTGTCTTATGTAACATCCCACTCACCCAAACGTATCCAACCAAAAGCACAACCATGATCAAATTCGTCACAACAGACGCAATAGCCACACCCGGAACACCCCAACGCTTCACCATCACAAGCCAATAATTCAACGGCACGTGAAACGCCACAGCTGCTAGCGTACACCACATCATTGGTTTTGTCACTCGCTGCGACCTTAGATAAACTCTCAACGGTTGAAGCAAAGTATTGTTCAAAAGATCAGGAAGGGCGTAAAGACAGTATTCAGCGGCCGTAGCCGTTATCTCAGGGTTTTGACCCATGAAAAGCATGATGGGTCCAAGGTTGATCCAAAGGAGGCTAATGGGAACAGAGGCGATTAAGAGAATCACGACCATACGGTGGAGAGAGAGCGTGAGGAGATCCCAGTTTTTGCTACCGTAGGCTTGGCTACACACTGGCTCGAGACCCGAGGCGAGTCCAACGAGAACAGAGTAGCCTGTGATGTTGGTGAATCCGATGGAGAGAGCTCCTCCGGCTAGCTCGAGGCTACCGAGCCGGCCAAGGAAGAGAACGGACACGACGGCGCGTACGTAGACAAGACAGTTCATTGCTGTGATTGGTAAAACCATAGCCCAGAGCTCTTTTAGCTCTTCTATGACTTGAGGAACAGTTGGGTTTTTATGGGAAATGAATTCATCTGACTGAGTTTTGTCTGCCATTGAAAATGGTGAACTTTTTGTTTTTCGAGTTTTCGGAGATTTGATCAAACAGTAGTGAGCCGATAAACAGAGCTAGAGGAAGCTGAAAGCCAAAAGAAAAACAGAGCTGAAGAAAGTTCTGGATATTTTAAAGAAGAAGGAGAAAGGAAGCCATGGGAGGTGAAAAGTTGTGCGAGCTTTAGAAGAAGACGTTAAACAGGGGAAGCTAGAAAGGAAAGCGAAGGAGAGAAAAAGAAAGAAAGTAAAATCGGAGAAAATAAAAATCTGTTCGTTTGTCTCCTGAAAGTGAAAGGAGGAAAGCTGCAATAAATAGAGGAGAAAGAGTTAAAAAAAATGAATTAATATATATATATATATATATATATATATATATACTTTCTCTATTTTAAAATAAGAGATGTTTTAATAATTTTTAATATATTCTTAATTTATTTTCGTACCAAAAAATATATACATTACTATTTTATATTTCCAGCACAAAAAAAAAGAAAAAAAATATTTATGTATTCCTATAATTATTAATATTTTTTAGTGTATTTATTATAATATCAAAATATCTCTTATTTTTAGTTAGTGTGTATTTATTTATGTAAAACATTTTTTTATACAAGTGAATATATTTTTAACACAAAAAGTCAAAAAATATATATGTCTGATTGTCGGTATATCGGAAGATAAAAAAATTTAACGGTTTTCTGTCACCATTCATTACGGTGACAAAAATGCAAAAGATAAGACTGACAATCTAAGAAAGCGGCAAAAAACGACAAAAAACGATCGTACAAAATAGTTTTTAGCGGTTTAATGTGTCTTTTGTATCTTTATAATATATTTTCCAATTTATTCCTGTTTTCATTTATTTAAATATTTGTTTTGTCACAATTACTCAAATTGTTTTACTGTGATATAAAAGAGAAGTCAATTTGGATATGAAAACTTTATTGAAAGATAGCATCAGTTTTCCCTGGACATGTTGCCTTTTAAATATGTAAGATCGTATATAGTTAATGATTTATGATAGAATGAACTTGGTCTTGGATATTATTTAGGTGTTTGCCACATATGATTTGTAATCTCTTGCGACGTTAACATTGAATTGAGTTTATATGTAGTTTATGAAATAAATAAGAAAATCAATAACTTTTATTTTTTCAAGGTATAAGTTTCGACTTTTTGCCTTTTTTTTTTTTGGATATCCGATCAGTAATGAGGATACATATGTCATTATGTCAATACATATGTCATTATGAATTACTATCAAATTAGAGAAAAATAAAAATCAATACTTTTCATGTTACCGGAAGTTTTTATTTCTTTGGAATAAATTGAGCAATGAGGATACATATGTCTATTTCTAACAACAGCAAAAAAAAAAAACATGATCTCTATCCATTTTGTCACGAATAGAATTATTAAAAAAGAAAAAAAAAATCAAGAATCAATAATTCTATGGTTTCAGAAGTTTCAGTTTTCTGCCTTTTTTTCATAGAGATTATGACAGTGATGATACATATGTCTATATCTCACAACACCAAAAGTCATAATCTCTAGACATGTCGTATTGGATGAAACTATATATGTAGATATTCAGATGTTTTGGTTTGAAAGTGAATATCAAAGGACCAGGTCCGTGTGTTTTGTGTTGCCTCAACCTCACAACACAGATATGTTCATTAAATCCTACCATCTTAGTCATTGTTTAATGAATCAACTTAACCTGAGGTTCATAAATCATAATGCGATAGGCTGATAGAATTCACTGATATTTTATTTGGTTTCAAGTATATTCATTGTTAACAAATCTTATTGTAATCATTAAATATAGAAATTGAACCGTTTATATATTTTTAATGAATGGAAACATCTTAGGGGAAATCAAAACTTTCATATAGTTTTATTTCAAATCATGAATGTCTAGTTCCATTTCAATCTAAATGAAAGTTTATATATAATCAGTCATACAACTACTTAAGTAAACATCTTGTTCGTTGAAAAAAAATCATTAAATTCTATTGATACAAAATATTTATAAATTCTTTCTAAGGTAATCAAAAACAGGGAAGCAAGAAAATAAAATAAAAAATGATATTTGTATAATCTTTTCGAGGGATAATAAACAAGAAGAAAACAGTGGGGTGCCTAATACACATTTGGTCATTTATTCCAATGCATATATGCTAGACAAATAATTATAACGGCTGCTATATTTATTTAGGCATTAATTGAAGATATTTGCATTCATTCAACTTGCACCATGACACGTTTTTTATCCATCATTTATTACTATACTGCTTTTTTCTTACTTTTAAGAGAACTCTTTGTTCCAACGAAACTTTAAACGAGCAAATCGGAGTCTAGCACGATTTCAATACTATTCAATCTTCTTCGATATTTACAAATTGGTCATTCACTCTTTTCAGTATTATATATAGAGTTTCTTTTTTGTTAATCTTTCAGTATGTTTTTTTTTTCACAAAGCGTAAAATACATAAGAACCCTAAAAAGGATTCCACATGTTGAGTTCATATTCTTTGGTTAATGAAATGGTGAACTAGTGAGAAAGAGCTGTGGTTTTCATTGCAAAGGTTTGTGGATTTTTATTTGGGATACTTTGAAGATTACTCTTTTCATTTTATAACTTCCAAATCACGCAAAAACGAGTATTTTTACTATTTTAAACACTATCATGAATTAAAGTGCAATAAAAAGATTTGAACTTTTATTTTTCCAATCCATGATAAACCTTTACACTACTAAACCACCAAAACTTAGTTAATCATGTTTACGTATATACATATATTGACGGCTATCAGACACTCGATACTTTTGTATTAGTAAACCAAAACCAAATATTTACTTCACCGAATAATGCAATACACACTTATGAGAATTCATGTCATTGGTGTTGGAAATTGGACTATTAGACCAGCACAAAACCTAGCTAAGACCCTATAAAGGTTTTTATAGATTGTGTAGCGAGAGCCGACACGTGTGGGAGGCAAGAGATAGATTGCACGGGCGCAGCCGCCTGACAAAATAAGTGTGGTTCTGTTAAAAGTTGACATAATAAATCAGGTATTAGGGATAGGTCACATTAATGTTTTACAGGTTAAGATACCAAAAAAAAAAGGACTGATTGAGACATCTTTTTTCATTTTACAAGATGTTGATTTACAAAATTTATGTTTAGTCACGACAGGAAGATTTTTTCGTTATAAACTCGTATGCGAACGTGGCTAACATTTATACGGAGTGGAAAATAAAGTGTATTCAATTGATTATCCTAAGTAAGTATTTTAAATAATTAGGCTAAATGTGAATGATTGAGACCATCACTTTGTAGAATTCCCTGCCCAAGTGTTTGCCGATAAAATTCATTCATATGTTGCTGGATAGTCTCCAGAGGGCCAGTTCAGTAATAACAAATAAATATCATGAATTACGTTCAAAAATACATATTGCATTTAGCATGAGTCTTGAACTCAACAAATGTATACACAACTTATTTATTTTATAATTAAAACATCAAAAATATTAAAGTTTGCAAAGACTAAAAGATTGTGTTTTAAGATGAGTTAATCAAATATTTCATATCCGGTGTGGACATAATATATATTGCTAAAAAAAATTATATAAAGGTTTTCTGTGTGGTAAATTTTTGTGACTTGGCCAAACTGGGCCTATAATGGTTTTATTTTCACTCTCTTGTTTTCAATTGAAAATCTTTTGTTAATTTTTTTTTTTTTTTGGTGACTAATGAGTGTAGTGACTACTAAGAAAATAATATCGCAAATCTTTTTGCATTTTTTTCCCCGCACTAGATTACTAGAGTTTTCACATAGCAATCGAATATACTTAACTTTTTTTTTTTTTTCTGTTCTGAGGATATGATATAATGTATGTTGATCGCAAATTCAACACCTGCATGCATAGCTATTATTAAAATGTGCAATTGGTGTGTCTCCGAACATTTTTTTTAATTCTAAAATTATTTTAAAGTATATATATATATTTAAAAATATTAATTATTTTATTTATATATTAGCTGATGATAATTAACATCAAATTTCGTTTCGTTTTAAGAAATGAACAAAACCTTTGAACAATGCGATACGACGCTCAAAACATGCCTCATAAGTCATAAGTCATCATTAGTCATCATAAATCAACACCAACTAAATTAGAAGTTAATACATTAAAGAATTATTTTGGATTAATAAAGAATTAAAAGGCAAATAATGCACGTACGGCTACCCATAAACCCAGTAGAAGATAGTGACTGGTCCGATAATACGACACCAATCAATCTATTTCTTAAAACATCACTAACACTAGTATGTTTTTTTGTTGCCTTTATAGGCATTTGTTTATATTTCGGCTTGTCGATAAATAAATTTAGAGTCATTAAAAAAAAGGGTATCTAAAAAAAAATCGACCAAAGCATGTGCCTTCCGAATCAACATAAATTATATCGTTAGTGTCTCGTACGTCATAACCAAAGTAGGTTGTTGTTGCCTCGCGGCCAATTCCAAGGGGCTAATTAAAGTCGTCCCACAATTTTACTGATACTCATGCTAATAATATAATCCTTCAAAATCGATCAAATAAATTTTAAAAAGTTTTTGGCCTCCTGTCCTATATTTATCATATAATATGTTTTCACCAAAATTTTAACTAAAATAAAAAATAAAATAATGTAGGTGTAATAAACAATAATTGACTATGTGTAGAGAAGAATCTTTGGATAGGGATGGAGAAGGGAAATTGAAATTGGTCGTGTGAGTGTAATGTAGATTGAATTACATAATCACATAAAGTTTCTACAAGGTTAAATTATACTATAGTTTATGTGTAGCTAATATGCGATAAACGAGTATTCTTTAGGACATAGGCATATATTTAATTTAACTAAATGGCAGACAACACATTCCTTTTGTTTAAAGCTATGCGTTTTATGAAAGTAGATTCCTACATTTTAGTACAACCTTATTCTCTAATCTCTAATATTCCTCATTTCTGATAGATTAACTAAACTATTTATCGGTGACAATAAAATAACTATTTTTGCTATAAACCTTCTTTTAGTTATGCCTCTTTGCTATATAGATCTAAAGCACTGACGAATTAGCTAGTGTAGTAGCCGCATAGCCACCACAATGAATTCTATTCCGGATTCAAATTCCATATACAAATAAAAAATATATTACGCGAGACACATATACAAGATAATAAAGTTTGATATAGTTATAATGTGGATCAAAGAAATAAATAAAAAAAATAGAGGGATTTCGATGATTTCAAATATATACAGCATGAATATGATATTCCACAAACGAAAAAAAAAACATAAAAATTGATTGTTACTTTGTGCGAGATGAGATATTCAATCGAGCGATTGAAACTACTCATGTGTCAGCCCCTTTAGCAGCAAGTAAAGCATTTGGACATAAAGTTTCATTTATTTATTTTCAAGCTTAACTTTTAAGACTTACATCCTCTAATTTTGAGAATATTATGAATTTGTGAGTATATAGTTCTCTACTTTTTTTTTTTTTTGGACAAACCTATATAGTTCTCTACTAAACAGTTCATATATATCTTTAGAATTTGAACATAGGTGGTATCTCTAATATACTTTTTTTGTTAACCGCACATTAATAGTAAAAACTCCTCTTATGCTAAATAGTTTAGAACATATATATATATTTAGTATGAACAAAACATGCTACTTGTTAAGACATAAAGGAGAGTGAAATTAAACTTCATGACCACATACTAAAGAGATATTATACTTCAACCGCATGCTTATGCTACCATCATCATCAAGCTCATCCTTCAAGCTTCTTGTTACTTGGTCTAGCGGAAGTGGAATGCTAGAATTTTCTCCACCACCCACTCTACCTCTTCAGCTATTCAGGTTTTTCTTGATCGTTCCATCCGGGATCGTCTTCTCTTTTTCCCAGGATCCTCTTCTCGTTCTTCTTCTCTCGTGGCTTTCAATATTGGTTGTATCAAATTTTTTTTTATAGTTTGTTGTTTCTCTTTTTGAATAAGTTGTTTTCAACATTGTAAGTGGATAAATCAGAAAATTGTATAAATTTAACCTTTTACCAAAAAAAAAAGAGATATTAGACCAAGTATATCACTGGTATAGTTTAAAACATTTTAAATATATGCTGGTACCAGGAGAATATACCTATCATTTCACATGAGTTACTAAAAATTTCCAAGAAATAATAGACGTAATAAAATAATGGGACCCTATAAATAATATAGGAAACGATCGTATTCAGCTCCATTATATGAAAAAGGTAAATGCTAAGCTAGTTAGGTAAGGAATAGAATATATTTCATGATTATTGGAACACTTTAAAGAGTTAGTATCGAGCATAAATTCAATTTGGAAAAAACAAAAAAAGACAAACTTCGTACTCGTCGACACCTCCCCGATTTAAAATTCGCTGTATAATCAAACGAATCAGATAAAAAAAGAAATAAAAAAATTCTAACGAGTCATAACTCATAAGGCCAACTCCTTGGAATTTGGTATATCTCTGTAATCAATTACTCCATCTTCCATCTGTTCCTAATTAATCTACAGTATCTTTTTGCAATTTACAATTTTCTATAACTCTAAACCAATAGTATTTAATTTTCTTGAAATTTATAATTCATCATCAATACTAATAAAAAATGCATAGATAACTTAAAAATACATTTTTTGAAATAATCTTTTTTCTTAAAAATAGATTAATAAGAAACAGAGAGAATGTGTTTTAATAGTCCACCATACATTTTTTTTTTTGTTGTAAAATGTGAAATTACACATACATTTGACTATAATATTTTCCAAACAACTTCGAATCAAACAATACCAATTGTCGAACTTACAGGTAAGTTTCATCTTATTGTTAATTCTTAAAGTATTTTTCTTTTGATCTTTTCCTCATCGATCTACCTTTTAAACGAGAAAGATAAGAGTTGGACCGAATCCAAACAAAGCGCATAAGATGTGTTATCAGTTATGTGATGTGCAGAGGGTTTTACGTAGCCCGTTTAATATAATACTGGGCCTTAATGCTATCCACTAACTGATGAAAGCCCAATAAATAGTTTGGGCTATATACTTCTCCAATATATTCCATTCTCCATTTCTTTTTGTAATAATCTCTTTTTCCTTCTCTCAATTAAAGAAAGCTCAACTAAATTCCAGAGTAGTTCTTTGTTTACCTTTTTATTTGAATAGAATATGTGAACTTTGTTTTGCTTTTTCTTTTTAAAATCTCACAAAGTAATAATAGAGCACTGAACTAGTTTCAGCTTCTACTTTTGTCCTATCGAATTTTTTTTTTTTTTTTTTTTTTTTTTGTCCTATCGAATTATTAGGCATAAACAAACATGAATAGTAAAAAAAAAACATAGAGAGTAAAAAGGGAAAAAAATTTGTGGGAGAGGAATCGATGACATTATATATGAAAAGTAGAGGGGCAACGTATTTGCGAGAGTATTAAATACAGTGATACTGATATGTCTACGGAAAATATTTCTTTGTAACATTTTGTTTTTTTGTTGTTTTTTTGGATCTGAAAAGATATACGGTGGAAAGACTCAGAAGAAATGCAATCTGTCTACGAGTGAGTAAAATGCAAGATATCAATTTTGGTAGGGGTGATTTGGAGAATGATGTATGAAGAGCTTTCAATTTCAGAGTAGAGGAGACAAATATTTTGGGGATTTTTTGGTGGATGGCCTAAGAGAACAGCCACAAGACATGTTCACAGTTCACATTAATGTAAAAGTAGTCTTATTTGTGTTTGGGTCTCTTGGGAGAATCTGATGGACTGTTAGGTACTTTGGACTATGACATTTTCTTATTTTCGACATGAGCAAAATTAAAATGAGAGCCAATAATTGTATCCCATTATCGTATTGTGTGTTA